CTGAGTAACATGCCTTAGATGGCACTTAGTGAGTGTATTTATTATTGCTACTGTTTATTACATTTCTATAATACCCTTCAACAGCGTGGTTTACAAAATAAAAACACAAAAATGCACAACATAGTAACAAGCAAAGACAAATAACACACACACCCCAGAGAGTGCTTAAAAGGCCATAGTTTGTTTAATTAGCCAAAGGCCTGGGAGAAGAGGGATGTTTTTGTCCGGCACATAAATTTGTGTAATGAAGGCACCAGGGGAGCCTCCTTGAGGAGAGCATTTCACAAGCTAGGAGCCACTACAGCAGGCTTCCTCAAACTTAGCCCTCCAGATATTTTATTGGCCTACAACTCCCATGATCCCTAGCTAGCAGGACCAGTGGTCAGGGATGATGGGAACTGTAGTCTCAAAACATCTGGAGGGCCGAGTTTGAGGAAGCCTGCACTACAGAAAAGGCTCGTTCTCATGTTGCCACCCTGTGGACCTCTCATGGAGGAAGCATGCAAAGAAGGGCCTCAGATGATGATTGCAGGGTCCAGGTGGGTTCATATATGGAAAGGCGATCCATGAGGTATAGCGGTCCTGAGCCGTGTTTAGGATTGCAACCCAACTGTGCAACCTTCTAGACGTCTTCTCAGAAGCAAGCCCCATTGAGTTCAATGGGACTTAGCTGGTGAATGGTAATAGACGTGCAGCCTTTATTTAGTGTGAGAAAGAACGCTCCCCCCCCCTATTTATCCTGCCCTTCCACATACACATTTTGCCTTGAAGCTGGCATTACAGAGTCCAAGTGAATAGATCTCACCTTGTGGAGCCTAGTTATTCACTTTGTACCCTTGGAATTAACAGCCCCCAAGCCATTTGCTCTCACTTCTCTAGTGCTCATTGCCTCCTGGAGAGCAGCCAAAGCTAAACGACATGACCTGATTCTCAAATGACAAAAAAAGGCTGGCCTGGGGCTTGTTGCTGTCTGTGCCATAAAGGAAGGGAGTTCCTGGGGGTGTCAGAAAATCTTTGATCCCCTATCTAGACAGACTACTCTGTACAACGAGGTTCATCCCCATGGCCGTGCTGTGTGTGTGTGTGTCTACCCCCAGTGTACTTGGCCTGCTTACCAACAAGGGTCAGGTGTCAGGCTGCTACCTGCACATCTGCTTGCCTGCTCAGGTCCCTAGTGGGTCAAGAGGGTAGTCCACAGACCTGCCTGACTGCTGCCTCCGCCAATCCACCCAAGAGGGCCTGGGTTCGCGTGCTGAAGGGTGTGCATAGTGGCAGCAGCTGGGTTCCAGGAGCAGCTGATGCACCTTGGATCTCCTTCACCCGAGGCGTTCCATTTCAGTTGCTGTGCTTCATGGCGTGTTTTAATTGTGGGTGCTTATATTTTAATGCTTTAATAAGATTGCTTTATTGAGCATTTTAATCGTGGCGGGTTTTAAATTGTTTTGCATTTTAAACCATGCTGTGCAATGGGTTGCCCTGTTTTGTAAACCTATGAGAAGCCATCTACGGCATTAAGAGGCAGATAGATAGATAGATAGATAGATAGATAGATAGATAGATATAGAGGCTGGCACCCCTGTTGCTGCAGTCAGTATTGCATGTGGTCCTTCTGTCCTCTCCCCTTGGCACAACTGGGTGTGGAGTTTGCTTGCCTGCCTGCCTGAGCCATTCCATGGGTGCCTGCTGCTGTTGCTGCTGCTGCTGCTGCTGCTGCTGCTGGAATCACCTGATAATAAGAGGAGGCAGAGGCAGCACTCTGCTTACTGGTGGGCAGTGGCAAAGAAGTAAGCTGGGCATGATTGTGCCCAGCACAATTTTACCAACTAATGCACACAATCTCAGGATGTCCCTTTTGGTTGTTATTCCTGCATTGCACGGGTTTGGACTAGATGGCCCTTGGGGTCCCTTCCAACTCTACAATTCTAGGATTCTATTTTACGGTTCTTCTCCTTGCTCCTGTCTTGGAGGATGCCTTGTTAATACTCTTCATGCTAACACTGTCATTATTCTGGGTTTTGCTTTCTCCCCTGAGACTCTAGAAGGTAAACACTGCTTTTCTCTAGGATACAGTCATTCAGAGGATGGCACAGCTCTAACCTGCCATACTGTGCACAGCCTGAACAAGGCAGAATGGAATGCTACAAGGACGTTCCTATTTTCATCTGCGAAACGTAGGAGAATGTTGCTGACACAATCAGGGGACTAGTATTTGAGTGATAGCTATGGCACCTACTGATGAGCTAGAATCTAGCTGGTAGATGGACTAAAAGTCTGATAGCTCCATTGGTTTCATGTGCATGCCAGCCTTCAGAGAGCTAAAAATATGATGGTGATGATGATGATGATGATGATGTTGATGATGAATGAAGTGTCAAGATATTACTGCAAGAACAGCAGCTAGCCTTGTTGATGCATTTGCTACTTTTTTGTCCTTGTCAAAAGTCTAGATTTAAAAAAACCCTATTGTGACACATGTCAGGAGCCCTTGACAGCCAAGCCAGAGTTGGGATTGGGGAGCACCTCAAACATTGAACACAGCTCTTTCTTAGGCCCCCACAATCTTCTCTTCTCACTTCCTTCAACTTTTTCTTATGGGACTTGTTTTCCTGAGCCCTTTCCACTTTGCCTATAAATGTAGAGAGAGAGTGTGCACACAATCCCATTCATATCTATTCAGTGAAGTCCTATTGAAATAATGGGGTTCACTCTGGGGTAGGATTGCAGTCACGCTTCCAAGATTATGGCACCCAGAACCAGACAGCAATCTAGGCAGGGATTTTCCCCCCAGCCAGAACTCACTGAACTCAATTCTGGCACCTCTCAGGTGGGCGCCATTGCCATTCTAAGAGAACGAGAGAGGTGTTCATGGTGAGTTCCAGCACCTCTTTTTCTAGAAAAATAACACCGAGTCTAGGTGAAGCAGGGGAGCCGACGTGGGCCCCAGTGCGTGTGACATCGTGACATAATATTGCAATGTGACATCATGACATCACACACACACACACACACACACACACACAGCCTCAGAACCTCACTTCCAGTGGTACCAGAAGTCGGGTTTCGAGGTCACGCAAGGCCTCAAACATGACTTCCGGCTTCACAAGGTACTTTAAGTTGCATTGGGGGCCCTGCAGTGTGGGTGTTCAGCACCCACAAGAAAATTGTTGTGGGTGCTAGGGTACCCAAAGCCCCTATAGGTGGCGCCCCTGAGGTGAAGTCAAACTAGTCCTTCAAACATGAAACTCATCCTTCTGTCTATACCTTCTCCACTGTGCTTTTTTTTTTTACCCATCAGGGTCCACCAGTTTCCCATCCCCAAACCAGCACATACTCAAAAGGTATGAGACAGTTGTAAAGGTTAGATTGTATCTAGTCTTTATCAAGCATTTGTTCTGATTCATTAATGGACTGGTTATATGACAATAAGCGTGCATCCTAATTTGCACATGGTGGGGTTGCATGTCTTCTCATTAATTGTTCAGTCACCCACATTTTTCAGTGCATTTCCCCATCACTTTCCTTACCATGAAAATCCTTTTTTAAAAATGGATTTGTTGTGCATGGGCAACAGAGAAGTTTAATCCACTTTAATTGTACAAACTTAGTTTTTCAGGATTCACCTAAAGCTCTCCCACAAAATACTGGCAGTCTGGAAGCACCCAAAGAGGCATGCTTCCAATTTGTAACCTCTTTTTGTTTTGTATTTTCCAGGGGAAGAGGGGAGAGTAAAGGTGCTGTTGTTTTCTAGCTCTGGCCCTGAGGCCACCCGCTGGGCTGCTGCCGGTCATCTCCCACCTTCCCACCCCTTCCTCTGGCCACCCGCAGCAATCCTAATTGAGGTGTCCATTCTGCTGAAGAGCTGCTCTTCTTGGGCCTTCAAGGTCACTCTAATTGCTCCCTCGTGCCTCAAGCCACCTCTGTTTCAACCCATTTTTGCAAGAATGATAGAATTTCTCAGTTCACTGATTCAGATAATCCCTCTGGTCTCAGAAACAAACAGCAGTAATAAGGGACTGTAATGCCCTGGAAACTTATTTCAGATTTCTCAAACTTTCAGCAGGTTTCTCATCTCAGGGAGCAGAAATGAGAAGCAAACTAACCTTGAAGGACATTCTTTCTGCATAATCCCGTCTGTGTTTTGCTGCTGGAGGAGGCTTCTGGGAGCGGGATGGAGGTGGGGGTGGGAGAGCTATGACTTCAGTCATGCCTCCTATCAGAGCTGATACTGGCATGGAAAAAAGTGGACTAAGATTCACCTCCCCACTTTGGTCAGCTTCAGCTGAAGAGCAAAATGGGGTATAATGGACCAGCATCAAGTGAGCTGAGGTTGCAGAGGCAGCAAAGGAAGTGGGTGGCGCTGTGGTGGAAACCACTGAGCCTCTTGGCTTGCTGATCGGAAGGTTGACAGTTTGAGTCCACGTGACAGGGTGAGCTCCCATTGCTCTGTCCCAGCTCCTCCCAACCTAGCAGTTTGGAAGCACAGCAGTGCGAGTAGATGAATAGGTACCACTGTGGCGGGAAGGGAAATGGCATTTCTGTGCGCTCTGGCACTTATCACAGTACCCCATTGCACCAGAAGCGATTTAGTCATGCTGGCCACATGATCTGGAAAGCTGTCTGCGGACAAAAACTGGCTCCCTCGGTCTGAAGCAAGATGTGCACTGCATCCCATGGTCGCCTTTGACTGGCCTTAACCATTCAAGGGTCCTTTACCTTTACCCAAGGCTTCTTCCATTGGCTCTGCCATGCTGACTCTGAGCCAAATCCATCAGCTGCTGGGAATCAACCTCACATCAAAACAAAGTCAAGTGATTTACACCTTCTGACTCCAAGGTGACTCTTACAAGGGACCACACAATGATGACAACTTTCCAGCAGTTTGCCTTTCACTTTTTTGAACAGCTTGGCTTCCATTTTAAAGGAAGAGAAACTGACCTACAAGTTGCTCTGGTCCAGGAATGGGGAACATGTGCAAGGCTCCAGGTGCTGTTCCGTTGCAGCACCCATCATGATAGGCATCTAATGATGTCTACAGGGCCATAGATGCCTCATCTCTGCTCTGGTGAATATCAGTGCTTTTTAACCAGCGCTTTTCTTCTAGAAAAAAAGGTGCATACCCTTGAATACCCCCAGAAAAAAGCACTGCTCAAAGGGTTGTTTAATGAAAATCTGGGAGATTGAGGCAAAGGGACCAAGGGCTTCAAGTGCTCTTCCATACGAAACAAGGGTGCTGAGAGATTTTTCTTTTGCTCTGTAGTTACGTTCATTTTCACTCTTGAAGATCCCTTGTATTTTCTTTGCTAAAATCACATTTGTTTTGTTAAACATTTGCTGCAGACGCATTTGTTTCATTATTCACAATCATGTCCACCCCCCTCAGTTTGTGGTGACAGCAGCAGAAGATCTGGTGTCAGTAACTGCCTCATTCCCACCCATACCCCAGCGTGTTGCATCATCTGGGGCAGCCTCTCCCCACCTAGTAGGTGCATTTGCAGAGGCCCCCCCCCCCCGTTCATCTGCCAAGTGAGGCTCCAGACTCCTGCCCTGAAGTCCTGACCAGATGGTGCCATGGCGCAATGGGATCTTCTGCAGGTCTCCTCTTTCTTCCTGGCAGCTCTTCTTCCCCACAGCCCAGGCCCTGTGCAATGGCACTTCAGCTTAGGGCTGACTGCCCATGCAGATCAAACCTTCCCAGTGACTAAACTTTGTGCCAAGGGCCTCTAGACAGAGCAGAAGCCCCCTTTCTCCCTTGCACCGACATTTTTGTTTATGTCATGTTGGGGGGAGCAAGACGTCTTGGGACAGGCACTCCCTCTGCCAAAAGAATGGGGGTGAGGAGGCCACATCTCACATGAGCCCATCTCATCGGCAAGGCTGCCAAAAGAAGATTAATGATTCTGTGAAATGAGAATCATATTCCACCTGCCTGTGCCTGACACCTGGGTGAAACTCCAGCTGGTGCCTCTGACAGGCTTGGGAGCTAGTGCAGAACAGCGAGATTCTCTCTCGCCTCCGCCCCCCGCTGGTCACAACCACCCCCACCACCCCCACGCAGCCTGCTGGTCCAGCATCCAGAAATTATCCTAACCATTTCCACATGGCCAGTTTGCAATGCACAACTTGCACAGGCAATATGGGAACTCCCACGGACATGCATTTCTATGTTCGCCATGTGAAAATATGGTAAACGAGGCAGATTTGTCACAAGTGAAGAGATACGCATGGGGTACATGCATGGAAAGTCCTGCTGAGAAGCAAAGGCTTTGTCGGAAAGGCACTGCAAGTTTTAATGAAGGCTGTGAGCTTCTTATACTACATTAATCAGCGAAAGCTTTAGCTGATTAATTGGCAGAGGCAAATATTAATGGGCAAGGCTTGGAGTTTTTAGGGCACCCGAGTTTATATACTGAGGCTATTTTGGTTTGGTAATGGTATTGTGTTACTGCAATAGGAAATGAAAAAGGAATTATAATATAATAAGTGGGGCCTTTCCTTCTCACAACGCGTTGCAGCTTTTCTTTATTAAATTGTTAAGTTATCTTAATAGTCTTTTCAACAGCCCAAAAGGGTTCTGGTGACATGAAAATTTGTTTAAATTTAATTGATTACTTCAAAGGCAGCATATCCATCAACCAAACCCTCTTTAGTTTTAATACAAGTCTTATTATAAGCAACACAGAGGCAATGCACGGATCTTGGGCTGGTACCATTTCTGTACAGGACCTTTAAAGAAAGTATTACTTTGTGCCATGCAAATATAATGCTAGAATTAAGGCTTGCCTCCACAAGGTCTCAGACTGCAATCCTAAGCACACAAATAAGCCCAATAACATAGGGGAATCTACTCGCAAGCAAATATGCGTAGGGTCACATGCTTACAATAAAATAATATAGAAATGTCTTAAAATGTGTCCCATCAGAACCAACCCCTGGAACCCGTTTGCAAGACCCATGCTCAGCCTTAGTACTCATTATGTAAAAAGATATTTTGGCGCCTATGCAGAGTTCCTTTTCCTTTCCACTGATACATCTGGATAAGAATAAAGCTTAGACTCCAGCTTGTTTCATTTGAGCAGATGCAATCCTATTACTTAATGCTGGAGCAGGAATAATAAACACATTCTTCTGGGGTTTAAGACCTATAATATTTGGCTTTTTCCCCTCCCTGTGTGTCACCTTTGTTGTTCAGACAAGACAAACGTTCTTGCAAACTGTGGGCACCTACCACCTGTGGGTCAGATTACAAAGCCTGCCATCATGACGTTTAAGCCAGCATAGCACCAGATGCTTTGGACTACAGCTTCCATCAGTACCAGCCAGCATGGCACCAGGTTGGGGAAGGCGGGCATAGGAACATAGGACGCTGCCATTGGTCTATCTAGCCCAATATAATCTATGCTAACTGGCAGCAGCTCTCCAGGGATTCAGACAGCAAGTCTTCTCCCAGCCCTACCTGGATAAGCAAGGGATTGAATGTGGGACCTTCCGTATGCAAGACTCATGACCCTTCCCCATTGAACAAACAAAAAAAGCCATTTCTTTCATCATCTGAAAAGGCCCCTAAGGCCAGAGCAGTCCACATCAGAGATCTCTCTTTGCTATCTGTCTCAGATTCTCTTTCTCTCTCTCCATTTGTCATGTGCCTGCTTAGCGACTTCCATTTTCCAGGCACACCACAGCAAAATACCTCCATTCATTCATTCATTCATTCATTATTTCATTCATTCATTTATTATCCATCCATCCATCCACCCATCCCATATTAAACAATGATAAAAGAAGCCTAGTCATCTTTGGGGTGTGTGTGTGTGTCTTCTCATCCTTTCCCAATGCAACTCCTCCAAGTGGAGTGTCTTAATTACTTGACAGCATCTGCTTAGCATTAAATCAATGCACCCATTTAGTCAGATTTTGCCAGAGACAGTGGTCCTCCTGGTGGAACACTTGAAAGCTGCCAGAGCCGCTTGAGGGCAAGGCAAGCATTAAAAGACCTCCTGCCTGTTGCTGATGTATCCAGGGGCTTGTTGTCTTGCAGCAGGAGTCAGCTCCTCGGCTGAAAGTTAGTTTTCCCCAATAGAAATTCCAGATGTTCATGCTGACAGATCCTTTTCATTACTTCTAATGGAACAAAATTGAAGAAGTAAAACCTTCCCTCAGTAGAATTTTGAAAGAGAGTGGAAGGCAGGTTGCTAAGCAAATGTACCCCTGGGGTCAGAAAAGGAGAAGGGAGGGGGTCGGGTATCTACCAAACACAGGCATTCGTTGACTTCATTTTATCGCCTTGCTTGCATTGAGATGGTACTTCCTCTTTTAAAAATAATAATCCAGATTAATTCCCATTGACTGCCACCTCCTCTTCCTCCCCTTCTGACCAGCCAAAAAGCTAGCAAAGGGTTTTCTGATCACAGCTTGGTGGCATGGAAACATGATGCCCTCTTGCACTCACAGCAACTATCATCTCCAAGTGCCACACATAGCTGGAAGAGGCAAAAGCAAACCCCGATGACTACTTGCAAGGATTTCACCAGGGAGTTGGAGCTAAATTTGCAGAAAGAGATTGCCTCTCAGTGAACCACTGCAAATACAATTACCTCTTCTGAAAATGATGGGCTTGAATATTGATCTCAACCATGTTTACTCAAAAATAAGTTCCACTGGCATCAACATAGTTTACTTCCAAACATGCGTACTTAAGGTCAAATCTTTGTCACATGCCCATGGAAAGCATACTCCAGGTATATTCTCTCCCTTGGGCAAATAGTTCACAGCTCTCTTTTTGCTCCCCTGAAAAAGGATGTTATGGCAGGAGTCTGAGAAGGCAGATAACCAGATTAAAAAATTGGTAGAAAAATTGGGTGCTCTTATAAGGTACTGGAGTAAGAAGGTTCAAGACTGCAGATCTGTTTATATTATTTGGACCTTTATGATTTTAATTGACTCTGCTTGGTTATGATATGGAAATCTACAATCTGTTTTTTTTAAGCTGGACATTAGCTTATTTGTTTTTCACAATTTCACCCTTTCTGTCTTTTTCTGTATATTAAAATGATCAACAAAATAAGATTAAAAGATGTAAAAGGGAAGGAAATGGATGCTTGCCGGTTTCACTATTGGGAACCCTGGAGTAAAATTGATAGTCTCCTTCCCCCCTAAATAATCAGAAGAGATGTGCATTCATTCTGCATTCATTCCGTTGCACTGGAGAAGTGTGGTACAATCCTTGCCGCTGATGCAGAATGACGCCACGGCTACAGATGAGCCTTAGAGGGAACTCCTAATTGTGTTGGGATCAGTTCCACTCAGGAGCTAGATGGTGGCCCAACACTTGACTAACACTCAGCACTGATTTTTTAAAAACAACAACAAAAAAGGTACACAAAATGACATTGTCATGGAAGGGAGGGATAGTGTTGCTTCCCTTTAATGCCCTGTGTGAATGATCCAATAGAACAGGGGTGCAGAACCTTTCTTTTTCCTGTCAAGAGCCACATTCCCTCAGAGTAATCTGTTGGAAGTCACTTGCTGGTGGTGTATGAGGTCACAGCCGATGGTGGGTGGGCACCTCCCCCCAATCTTTTCCACCCCCTTTCCTCCCTCTCCCACATTTTGCTCTCCACCCCCCCCCCCATGTATACAATAAATAGCTGAAGGGGCATGTGTGTGTGTGTACTGCATTACTGTGAGAATCCTGTAATGTGGCTTGTCACGTAAACAGCATCTATCCATCAGCTTAGAGCTTCTTTATGCCCGAAGACCAGGACTGAAGACTTTCACCTGATTGGATGCTGTGAATATTGATCACTGCTTGATGAATCCACACTGTCCCACTGAGTAATTACAGGCTATTTCACAGTGTAGCAGCATCCATCAAACTGCTGGTAACACGAAAGGGGGGGGGAAGCAACCATATGTTTGGAAAGAGCTTCCCTTTCCTTTCCCGCATTATTTTCCTCTTCTGCATAAGATGAAACGCTCCACAATTCTTAATCCATTTACTCTTTGATGGCCTTATTGATTCCAGTAGAATTGGTTATATATTAGTAGGTTCGGGTTAAAAACACAGGAATGGCCAGCCTGCTTCATACACTCGTCCATCTGCCTCTGCATCCTGCCCTATCAATCAAGGCCAGTTAAAAGCCACAAAGAAGCACGGGCAATGGCAGCATCCCACCCCCCTGGTGCTGACCCATGGCATCTGGCAGCCAAAACACACCAGCTCAGAACAGAACTGCACTTCTGATCATCAGCTTGCATCTCCCAACAGTTCTATCCGTACTTCATCTAATCATTTTATATGACAGTCACCATTACAATTGCAACCTTGATGTCTGATCTGTTTTCAACTGTGCCTTAAGATAGTCTTGGAACCCAGGAGAGTAATCACATTGTCAGAGCTCACAGCGGGAGCAAATTGGTGTGCCGGTAACACAAGAGACAAGGTAGCGACTCTTCGGTGAACGCTCATTGTCACCTGTCCCCTGCCCCACATGTCACCACCATTGCATAGTCCTTGTGTATACAGTACAGAGCTTATTTATTTATATATAAAAAATATGTTTATAGTGCTATTCAGTTTTTTAAAAAAAAATAAATAGAGGAAGGGGAGTACACAAATTCATGGAGGACAAGGTTGTGAATGACTGCTAGTCATCATGGCTGCTCCCTGCACCAAAGGAGGTATGGATCTGAATGCCAGTCTTTGGGGAACAACAGTGGGAGAGAGCCGTTGTCCTCATGCCCAGCTTGTGAGCTCCCCATAGGCATCTATTTGGCCACGGTGGAAAATTTGAAGCTGGACTAGATGGGCCTTTAATCTGACCCAGCAGGGCTCTTCCTATGTTTGGTCTGTGTGCAGGAATACCCTCAACATCAATATTAGCTATGATCAGAATCATGCATCTCTCCAGTGCTTCTGGAAACCATGGGGCCGTGTGGGGAGTGCTTTGGTGCTTAGGTTCTGCTTGAGGGTTTCCCACAGGCATCTGGGGGGGGGCCACTGTGAGAACAGGGTGCTGGGCCAGATGGGTCATTGGCCTGACCCATATGCAAAGGGCATTGTCTGTTGTGTCTCTTGAACGGGAACCTCTCCTGGTATAGGTGGCAAACTGCTTTTGAGGCCGAAGTGACTATCAGAAGGAATTTGTGCTGGGGGGCCGCTAGGGGAGGCATTGGAAGATGGCCGACAATACCATCTCTCCGGCTCACACGAGGTAATTAAGAGGCTGTTATGGGAGTATGCAGCCTCCCTCGTTACCCCAAGCGAATGGGAAACGCTGCCTTGCCTGCTGTGGCCATAATTCATCCCCGGATTCGAAAGGGGGTGAGGGCACTAGGCACAAAAGCCCTCGTGTGGGTCGGCTCTCCTGGACACTGTCTCTGATCTGCGCAGCTAGTTGCGGGAGCTCTAGATAAACAATCAGGACAGAAGCAAACGCACATACTTCGAGCGAAGATCGGGAGTAAAGACTGCTAACTAAAGGGATCTCTGGGAAGTGGAGCGACGGGCTGGACTTAACAATAAATCAAGAAGAAGAATAAATCAAGAAGAAGATTCATCAAAGGATCGGTATGTCGGAGCGAGACTGAAAAGGAGGGGGGGAGAAAAACTTTTCTTTTTTTGTCTTATGTGATTACCCAATAATCCTCCCCCCCCAAAAAAGAATTGTTGCAATTACTGATCACAAGCAGGAGGAATAAGAACTGTGTGGAAATTAATTACTATGCAAGGACATGGCTTATGGGAGCATCGGGAAACGAAAGTAAGTCCTTTGTGACGCAGTCATAAAAAGAGATTCATCATGGCAGGCCCGCCCGCAGGAATTCAGGGGGAGGAGGACTATGGCTGTTACTATGTTGGAGTGTGGGTTCGGCATAGGAGGGCCCGCTGAGAAAATTTATGAGGGAGCGGCGGGCCTGGGGAGATCAGGACAGACTGTCGGAATGTTTTGTACGGAGGTGTTGAAATGACGTCTGTCTACTTTTATGGCTCTTGGATGAGTGTAAAATCCACACAGGATATAACAACGTTTGTCTTCAACCTGCTTGTGGAGATTATCAGAGATCACAAAGAAAGGAATATATGATAACAACAACAAGATGAGGAAAACAACAAAGAGAAGATTGAACAGAACTGTGAATAATATTTTGACAGAACTGTGTAATTAAAGCAGCAGTAAGAGAGATGATTGGATCCCTTTCGGAGCTCGAAGCATGGGTACCCCCAACAAAAATTTTAAAAAAATTGGCTGTGTAATTTGGAATTATTGTGATTTGGAATTAATGTGATGTGATTGGCCTGTTAATAAAATTTTTTTTTTAAAAAAAAGGAATTTGTGCTGTGGCATATGGGATGGGTGCATGGGGAGCTCTGCTGTTTACAGAAAAGAACCAGGAAACCCTTCTAGAAATGCTCAAATCCAAAGCAGCTCATGGGATCCAACCCCAGGTATCCAACCTACGTACAGTGGTACCTCTGGTTAAGAACTTAATTTCTTCTGGAGGTCTGTTCTTAACCTGAGGTACCACTTTAGCTAATGGGGCCTCCTGCTGCTGCCATGCGATTTCTGTTCTCATCCTGAGGTAAAGTTCTTAACCTGAGCTACTATTTCTGGGTTAGCGGAGTCCGTAACCTGAAGCGTCTGTAACCTGAAGCGTCTGTAACCTGAGGTACCGCTGTATCTATTCCTGCCTTGCATTCCTCTTAATGCTGTCTGAAGGCTTTGCTTGTTTCCAAACAGGCAGGTGCCTGCCAGCCCTGCAGGCTTCCTGCCCTCATCTCATCCCACACAGATTTCAGCCAAACAGCCTGGATTTCTATTACCATCTGCAAGGCAAGCCAACTGCACTGGCTCAGGAACGGAGTGACCCCCCAGCTCCTGGCAGGAGTCCTGCAAATTAATTGTGCAGTCTTAATTAAAATTAAGTAATTTTTCATTTGTGCCCGAGCCGGTGCTTTCCTGATGATTTATTAAAGTCAGCTACGGGTAAATTAGTCACACGCTGACTGTCGTTGCTGCATGACGGATGAGCTGGAAAGCCACAAGCACAGCAAAGAGGGGATGTGTGGAGCAGCAGCAAATAACATGACTGGCCTTTCCCTTTCCAGGCAGCCGTCTCTTATTCTGATTTGGGGATGATGGGATTCTGCTTTTGAAGATGCACACCAACACCTTGCACCACTAAGCAAAAACACAAAGCTTTCTGCTTGATTCATGCTTAATGGTTTTGTGTGGTTTTGTGTGGCTTCTCTGTATTGTATGGGGCTCCTGTTCTTGCCGTTGCCTTCAGTTATGGTACAGCTGAAAGGATTGCCATAGCTCTGAAAGAAGGACAAACCTGCAACAGCACTGCCAAAGACCGTCACAATTGCACCAACTATGTAGCTGGAGCCACTGATCTACAAGCACGTCTGCAAGGCAGCTATCCCCAGGAGTGTGTCAAATTAGATGCCTTTTACTCGGTGGTGGTAGCCAGAAATTGCAGCATGCACCACTTTTGGGACCCATCAAGAGACCAAGGAAACAGCATATGACTCATTCACCACCACTTCTTCCTGCATGTTATCTTGATTGGCTCACACTGATGCCGTTGAAGCACCATCACCCAAAATAAGCCTGCTGCTATTGGCCGCTCAGGGCTCTGATTTGCTTGACCCTCTTTTGCAGTTCATCTCTTTCCTTGCAGTATCAGCTCCTGATTGCACAAATTGCATATGATAATCATAAATTACAAACTGATATTTTTTCCCTAGTGAGCCATACCCTTGAAGGAGAAGTCTGCTGCTGCTGCATAGAAGCTACAGTCATTGATATAAAGAATCTCTGTCCCCACTCTACAATGCTCTGGTTTTCCCTCTCATAGTTCTTTCCAGTGCCACTCTCACACCACTCCCGTGGTTCAGCAAAAAGCTCCCCTTATTGCTTCCCTAAATGGGGATTCAGTGGCCATTCAGATACTGTTGGAACTCCCAAATGAAACCAAGTACAAAATAACCCCTCTGCAGTGCCACAAATCCAACTCAATGGTGTAACGTTGGAAAATGTCAATCACTTCTCCTACCTGGGCAGTTATCTTTCCACAAGAGCCAACATTGATGCTGAAATCCAGCATCGCCTGAGCTCTCCGACTGTAGCTTTCTCCTGATTGAAGTGCAGAGTGTTTGAGGACATTCGCAGGGAAATGAAAATGCTTGTTTACAAAGCTATTGTTCTACCAACCTTACTGTATGCTTGTGAAGCATGGACCACTTATAAATGCCATCTCCAGCTCCTTGAAAGATTCCGTCAATGGTGTCTCCAAAAAAATTTACACATCACTTGGGAAGACAGGCAAACTAATACCAGTGTACTGGAAGAAGCAAAGATCACCAGTGTTGAAGCAATGATTCTTCAACATCAACTTTGTTGGACTGGTCATGTTGTGCGGATGCCTGATTATTGTCTTCCAAAGCAACTACTCTATTCCGAACTTAAAAATGGAAAGCGTAATGCTGGTGGTCAACAAAAGAGGTTTAAAGACTGTCTCAAGGCAAATCTAAAAAAATGGAGTATAAACACTGACAACTGGGAAACACTTGCCTGTGAGTGCTCCAATTGGAGAACAGCCTTTACCAAAGCTGTCATGGGCTTTGAAGACACTTGAACTCAGGACGCAAGGGAGAAACGTGCTAAGAGGAAGGCACGCTTGGCAAATCCACACCATTATCAACTCCTGCCAGGAAACCAGTGTCCCCACTGTGGAAGGACGTGTGGATCCAGAATTGGCCTCCACAGTCACTTAAGGACTCATTGTTAAAACCATGTTTATGGAAGACAATCTTACTCGGCTACGAGTGATGAGAAGAAGAAGAAGAAGAAGAAGAAGAAGAAGAAGAAGAAGAAGATTTGTAGACTCCCTTTCCATAAAGTCTGTCTGCTGCATTCAAGCCAGCTTTTAGGGTAGGTCCACCCTGCCCTGGCATGTAGTGACTAAAGGCAGAGCATCTGAGGCTGACATCTTGCATTGCAAGGAAGGTCAAGCAGGCTGCAGAGAGATGCTGTGGGGATTGAGCATCTGGGAGCCAAATATGCTGCGTTGCCTGAATTCTCCCTCTGAAATACTACTGGGATTTAAGCTGCTGGTCCAGCAGTTGCCCCCAAGCTCCTTCCCCAAGGCATCCAGCCTGCCCTTCACATCACGCTGCTCTGTAAAGGAGTCTGCTGTTCCTCTTTTCTTTCCACCTGCTTTGATTATGATTCTGCCACTGTAAGCAATGCTGATGAGAGCACAGGACTGTCAGCTGAGAAATATGGCATTATACAGCTTAATGGCACAGAACTCCTGCAGCCCTGGTGTTTGAGAGAGCCCATTAGTTGACTGATAGAAACATAAGATTATAAAATAACTATTTACTTTGAGCCTGCTGACACTATTGTCGAGGCACAGACAGCAGGGGGGGAGGTTCCCTCTGCGAGAGATAGCAACGCAGGCAGAGTGTCGGCAACAGGGGAATTGGATGGTGTGTGGACCACAAACACACCCCACTTGCCCTCACCACCACTAGGAGGAGCCATTCCAAGGCTGCAGCTGGAACTCACAAAATGGCATCTTGTAGGGCAACATGGCGGTGCCACATACAGTACAGCTGTCACCTCCTGGCTTTTCCTGCAGAATTTCTGCCACCTACCATCAATGAAGTTTAAGCAGGGCTCCATTTTCATCCCACTGCAAGCAGCAGAGGAGTAAATGAACTGCCACAGCATCGGGCTGCTCCTGTAAGTGCCTCTTTGCTCCAGAGATGAGTTTAAGAAATTGGCATCGTCTTTGCTATTAGAAAGCGGCAATGTGACAGTAGTTCTTAGAGACAGGAGAAGGATCGTTCCATTTTGCCAATAAGCTTTTGCTTGAGCAGAAGAGTCCTGCTGGATCAGGCCAAAGGCCCAATTACTTCAGCATCCTCTTCTCACAACAAACAACCTGTGGGAAGCCTGAAGGAAGGGCCTGAGCACAGCAGCACTCTCTCCACTTGCCGTTCCCAACAACTGACATGCAGAAGCACACTGCCTCCAACAGGGGAGGCAAGACAGTTACCCCATGACTAGCAGACACTGATAGCTTTATCCTCCATGAATTTGTCCTCTTTGAAAGTCATCCAAGTTGGTGGCCAACAAGTGACTTGGTGCTCTGAAGTGCCCAAGTCCCCTGATTGGGAACAGTTTTGCACTGAACCCTACCGAAATGAGCAGGATTTACTCCTCTGCTCAACAGATTGTTAGATGATTGACAGGTGGGAGTGGTTTTGAAAAAGGGCCTTCCAGGTTGGAACCCCTGGCAGAGCAAGATTTGCCCAAAGGATGGCGTTTCCTCACCTTTGGACTAGGGCAATAGGGAAACTACATGGGGCCCATTTGTTGCCATGGAATCTCCTATGCCCACTTCACTTCAGCAGCTGTTTGTGAAACTTGAAGCCCAGTGCAACTGTGCCCCTCCTAAGCATTTCAAACCTTGTCAAGTTACAAATGTACTTAGTGTCGTTTTGCCACGACTCCTCCATACCACAGTAATAATGGCTCCAAAACTCGTTTTTCTAACTCTCAACTATCCCAAGCCACTGGACGACTACATTGATTTCTAGCTGAGAAATAACCTGGGAACAAATTAAACTATCAAAGACCTACATGATCTCACCCACCCACCCACAACCCATTGTCTGTATCCTTGGTCCCTGCATATTTGGATGCAAGCCCCCATGGTTGGAAATCCCTCCAATCCACACTGTGAAGCAGGTTCTTTTCCAATTCATGTCCCGGACATGAAGTCTCCCAGCCTTCCCCCCAGGTGTGTTTGTGTAAAAACCCATATATACCGGTAGTCTCATTCCACAAAACTGGAGACATTTGTCTCATCCTAAGGAAGACCAGGCTGTTTGCAAAGGATGTGCTCAAATATGAGCTAATCAGGTTAATGCTCTGTTTTGTCACCAAGTGCTGCCATGGTGCTATTAATGACCCCTGAAGCATGAAGAGTGTTGCAATACAGCAGTCATCTCAAGGGCAAAGCATTTCATGTACATCTGAGCAGAAACCACAAGTGTTTGTGACTGTGTGCGAACCCTTTCACCTGATCTAAAAAGCATCCATCCTTTTTTGGTGTGATTTCCCACCACCCCGAGGTGCCAAAGTGTGCAGGGGCAGAATCTACCAGAAGGTGGGGAAGCAATATGTCTGGCTTCCCAACCAAGACCATCCAATTATCATAGCACAATAGGCAGGAAAACACCAGCATAGCCAACACCTATGCTTTCCTTCCCAGCATCCGTTGGTGCTTTCACCATCTCCCTGATCCCTTGACACCCATTCAGAGTGAGGGTAACACAGTGCAGAAGAGGAAATGCAATAAAACCCCAAAGAAACATCAAACAGCAGAAACAAGGGGGCGGGGACAGCATACAGCTGTCATAAAAATGCATTCAGAATACCCCAATGTGGCCTAGGAAGGGAGTTCTATAACTTTCGAATCATCACTGAGAAGGTCCTATTCTGGTTGATGAGGATACTCACAGGAAGGTGATGGAGGACTGATGGAGGCAGGGAAGGGAAGAATTCCCAGGGTGGGAGGCTGGAAGAAGAAATGGAAGTTTCCAGGTGAGAGCTGAGAGGGACCACCCCCTTTTATTTGTAAGATAACGGTTAAGAGAGTTCTGTATTTTATTTTTCTCTCTTTTTCCTCCTGTTTTCTCTGTTTTCTTTCTTTCTTTTCCATTTAAATTAGTTTATTTTTTATTGTATGCTGAAAACTTTCAATAAAAACACACTCTCTCTATCTATCTACAGTGCTTTTTTCTGGGAGTAAGCAGGGGTACGCATACACCTAAACATTTTTTTAGAAAAAAGCACTGCATGCATGTGCGTGTATGTGTGTGTGTGTGTCCTATTCTGCGCACGCACGCGCACACACACACTGTACTTCAAATGATCAGGAGCATGCAGAGGAGGACTTCAAAGTAAGCTTATACAATATCAGGTGGCCCTAAAAACATATCCTGGACCCAGTAGATTTAAGGCTGTGAATATGAAAGTGACCTTTCAGTTGGGATCAGAAACTAACTGTAAGTCAGTGAAGTTGCTGTAAATATGGCATTACAGGCCTCCGTGGACTGCTCCACTCAAAATCCTAAGAGCTGCATTCTGAAGCATCTGTGGTTTATAATCATTTTTTGAAAGCAGTCGTGTGCAGCTCTTTATAGTAGTACAAATGAGGAATCACTTGGCTAGGTCATTCCTCTCCAAGAAAAAGCCTAAGCCACCCAGTCTACCACCAGTTATATACCTATCTCTAGATCAGAGATGCCTTCAAGCAACAGGAGCTCCCTATGTCTTGATTAAGCATTGTTTTGATCACTCTTATCATCATTGGGTGCCTCCTGATTGTCACTATTTTGCAGGAGGGATTCAGTTGCTTACCAGAACATTAGGTAAAGGGACGCCTGACCATTAGGTCTAGTCATGGCCGACTCTGGGGTTGCGGCGCTCATCTCACTTTTTTGGCCGAGGGAGCCAGCGTACAGCTTCCGGGTCATGTGGCCAGCATGACTAAGCCGCTTCTGGCGAACCAGAGCAGCGCACGGAAACGCTGTTTACCTTCCCGCCAGAGTGGTACCTATTTATCTATTTGCACTTTGACGTGCTTTTGAACTGTTAGGTTGGCAGGAGCAGGGACCGAGCAACGGGAGCTCAGCCCGTCGCGGGGATTCGAACTGCCGACCTTCTGATCGGCAAGTCCTAGGCTCTGTGGTTTAACTCACAGCGCCACCCACGTCCCTACCAGAACATTAGGTTTGTGCAATTCAAGCAGATTAAAGCCCTAGTGCAACAAATCCGCTTCGTGTGTGTGTGTGTTTTTAATAACCTTTTTGCAGTTTGGAAAGTGACTGGGAAGTTCACTGAAAAGTGTGGGAGGATCAAATGATGAAGAGGAATATGTGTAAACAAAGCCTATCAGGATGAATGATCCTTGTTATATAATCAACCCATGAATGAATGAATAAAAACAAATGCTCAATAAAGACCGTACATATTCTAACCACTGTGCAAGTTTTGTGCAAGCAAATAAGAATGAATGTCTCCAAGCCCCAGTTCAGAACATTCACTGCCTTGGTGGGAAATGGGTGGCAGAGAGAGGGAGAGAGAGTTGGCTGTCACCAGCCCACCAGTACCTCTGGATGACTTCCCCCAGCAGTGTCAAGAACCGATTGAATCCTGTGGCACTCCACAAACAGAAGGCCAAGGGGAGGATCTGCACTACTTTCTGGAATCTACTCCTAGATAGGGCCAGAATTACTGCAGAGTCCCCCCCACAGTTGCTAAGAAATCCAAGAGCATCAACAAAGAAACATTCCATGTCCATTGCACAGGGAACATCATTAGAAGCACGATTACAGTATTACAGCATAGCATATTTAAAACAGAAAGCAGAAGGAGAAAGCCCCACTTGTTCTTATTCGGAGGGAATGTATATTTAATGCAGAACTCTGAGGGGGATGCAGAAATCTGCTGCGTTAGTACTGGGAACCTGCAGAAAAAGCAACCCTACATATAGTCAAACCTCTCGTGATGACCCCCATCAATAGTAAAACCATTTTGCAGGCAAAATAAATTATTATTTTTTTAATCAGTAAAAGATTTATATGACAAGTGTCCTCACAAGACGGTGTGCAATACCAGTCGCAAAGCATATAAATCAGCCATTTATAATCTCCAATTGCACCCCTTTGAAACTGGCAGAAAAAACACCAAGGCATGGGAATTAAAAATATTACTAAAAAGCAGATTGAAATAAAAATGCTTTGAGGGTTGTTCTTTTAATGTCAGCAATGAAGGGGCCATACGTACTTCATAGGGGATCATATTCTATAAGTATGGGGTCACCACTGAAAAGGCCCTGTTCCTAATACCTGTCAGTCTAAGTTCTCATATTGATGGACCAGAGAGCTGATTCTCCAGAGCAGATCACAGAGTTCAGGCAGGTTCCTACAGGGTAACATCAATCTCTTTGTGACATCTGGTGCAACCAACCTGTGGATCCATGGGGGGGACAGCAAACAGGAGTACCGGAAACCAGTCTGTTGCTGCATCGCTCAACAAGAAACTAAGTCGTACTCCTTTCCTACTCAGTAAGGAGCTCAATATTGCTCTCTCCTCACCCCCCTGAATCTGGAGTATTTTCACCACAGCATATCTCATGGGTAGGCAAACTAAGGCCCGGGGGCTGGATCTGGCCCAATTGCCTTCTAAATCCGGCCTGCGGACAGTCTGGGAATCAGGGTGTTTTTACATGAGTAGAATGTGTCCTTTTATTTAAAATGCATCTCTGGGTTATTTGTGGGGCATAGGAATTCATTCATTCCCCCCCCCAAAAAATATATAGTCTGGCCCCCCACAAGGTCTGAGGGACAGTGGACTGGCCCCCGGCTGAAAATGTTTGCTGACCCCTGGCGTATCTGCTTGTTGGGGGCAGAATTACTGGGGGGTAAACCCACATACCATTTCCGCACAGAGGGAAAATCCTTCCCACAGATTCCACCATTCTGTTATTCCCTTTGTGCTTCTAACAACAACAATACAACATTGTTTTCTTGGATTTCTTAAGACCTGGGCTTCTTGCTTGACCCGCCAATAGAGGCGGCATTTCAGCCTGGCACCTGCACATTAGGGAGGTCATTTGGTGACGGGAGGCCTTGAGATGGCAGCAAGCCACAATTGCACATCATCAGGAATGAGGAGTTAATCCTTATCCCAACAGCAAGCACCATTAAGTTTTGTCACCTGCTATCCATCTGCCCGTAAAGTGCTCATTCTGCACTGCGCTCTCTTATTTTGTCACGGGCAGATGAGCCTGAGGTCAGTCCATCTCAATGGGCCACGGCTGGGGACCATATTGCGGAATTCCCCGAGATTGATGTTCAACAGGGGCCTTCAGGTAAGAAAATCCTGAAGAATTTATGGCTATTAAATCAGCGCTGGGTGACAAAGAAGTGGAAGCATTCTTAGAGGCAGGGTGCCATAGGAATAGCAATGAGTGTTCTTCACACGTGGAAGACAGTGGGGGATGAGAGCGATCCTCCTCCTTTGACTCTTTGCAGATTGCCGTAGTCGGTGCCTTTCCCCCAGAAAAATAAGTGACGGAACTCACCTATTGTTGTTACAGTAAGTTACAGGGCTACTTGGAGCAGATGCTGGTTTGACAACAGCCACGTTCAACCACACACGGAGATGCTAAAAGCTACGGCGAGTTGTCTCCCTAGCTGGTTTGGGGATCATCCCTGTTTCTGGTGCAGGTCAAATAAATGCATCTTTGCCTCCCTCGTCCTCTTCTATTCAGGTGGATGGCTAGGACAGCTTGGAAGGGCCATTGTGCAAATTTGTGTGCGTGCACAACAGGAGACACCTGGCCGGAAAGCTTAAAGCCTGCCGCCGCTACACAGCAGACCGACTGACCCACAGGTCATCCTCCTCTCCAGGACCCCAGCTGGATGCAGTGGGCGAGTGAGCAGACGATGCTGCTGCTGCCACTGTGCCAAACCATCCACCCAAGCCTTGCAATTCAAAAGGCAGCATGGAAACCTCGTCATGCAGCTGAGGGAAACCTGCTTGGCTGCTTCTGCTGCAGATGATTGGCTGCAGCTCCTGGCAAGGGCCTCTCCTCTGCCTTCCTCCAAGGCTTTGCCATCCTTCGGGGGCAGCAGGTGCTTGTGTTCAGAGCCTTTCTTATATAACACAACAGGAACTCACAACAGCGGAGGCACAACTTTGCCGTTAGCTGCAGTGCTTGCTAAAATAAATGCTGATTCACTGTATAATTATCCACTGTTGATTTATTTATGTGATGCTAATTAGGCACACATATACGAGTCTACGGACAATTAGATTCACTGCTGTAAGATTCTGGTTTTAAATATGTATTTATGTAATCAGTGCTCAGTCTATAGCCAAATCTGGCCACGTTTGAGTGTATAATCATCATTCACGCTAGTCGGGACTGTGGTTCTAGAAACACTCCTGTTCTTCTCCCCCAGGAAGCACTCAGGCCAAACTTCCTCTGCCAAAGGAAGGGAGCCTCCAGGCAAGAGGGAGTATTTTTAAGTAAGAGTTCTGGAAACCAACTGGCACTGGGTGGTACCATTTGAGTGCTGAAGAACCCATTAGCTCAGCAGTCCCTTCTGACTTCACACTTTCAGATTCAGTTTTGAAAACCACATGGAAACACCCTAGTTTGGAGAGAAACAAAGTGTATTGCAAACTACCTATTCTCAGATAAAAATTTAGCAGAGACACTATCATAGCGCTTTACACTCTCCACTAGCCTGTGGAGGAAGGAGAAACATACAGCGACTTATTTCCCATCTGCGGAAATACAAAAACTGACAACATGGAATCAGCTGCAACATTCCCCTGGTGAAAATCGGGACACACATTTTTTGTTACCATGCTGTCGTGTGAGTCAGTTTACTCGTGCGGCACCAGGAGATGTGTGTCTTTTGGCACCGCACTCTTACCCAAATCATCTGACTCGCGTGAGAGGACAGCATCTGCTGTGGTCATCGGCTCATTCCAAAGACATTCTGGGATCAAATCAGAAGCCAGGATGGCTTCTGTAATTCTGGGAATGTCCTATTAAAATAGGGACGGTTGACCAATGGTACCAAATAGTATGGGAAACAGCCTTATTAGAAAAACTAACCAACAAACTGAAACTGACACGGGGACAAATAGAAGAAGACATCTCCCCTTGATCACATACACAGCCCAACAAGACAACGACAAGAATCCGCCAACAGCATACAAATCAATATGGCTAACCTGATACAAAAACACACACATACCCCACTCACACATGAAAATAAAGTTCACTACAGCCAATCAAAGACAACGAACCACACCCTAGGCCAACCCCAACCTCTCTCACCACCAAAGGAACACAAGCGAATAGTAAAGAGAACCCACACAAGCAACGCTGACACAACCCCCCCCCCACATACATTAAGCAGAACAGAAGCATTGCCACCCAACCCTACCCCCACTCACCATGCCCCCTCCACCTCTTCCCCCCTTTTTCTTCCTAAGGTAACACTAATGTCTCAAGAAATGAAACTGATCTATAGAAAATGTAACTTGAAAAAAGAGACATTGCACATACTTTTGTAAACCAAGAAATCATTAATAAAAACACGTTGTTGTTGTTCTAAAAAATAGGGATGGTTGGAGAGTATGCTATTGTATGTTTCTCCTTCTCATCTCAGTGCAACCAGAAACCTGCATAGCACCTAAATAGTCTCATTTGAATGTCGCATCTGCAGGTAGGACTGGAAAGGCCCCTTGTCTAAAACCCTGCAGGGATGCTGAAAGTCAGTGCAGGACTGACCTAGATGCCCATTAACAAGGGCCCAGTGGTCTGACTCAGTATAAGGCAGCATTTGATGTCCGACCTTAACACTCATACCAGATGCAGCCTCAGATTACGTCACTCACTCTTCCCCCCACCCTGCACCACATCCTCCCCCTTTTGTTTACCATCTAGCCTCCTGAAGAGTTCTGAAGAACTCTAAAGCTTCAGTTTATTCCTTTGACAGACCTCCCATGATCAGCAGCAGCAAAATAAATTTTGCAGACTATAACGCACCCTCGCATAATGCATTGTATACAATTAAGAGACTCCCACTTTTCTCAGTGCTGAATTTGGGTCAGTTGGTGTACAATTTCCCTTTTTCAAAGATATGCATAGCTATGGCTGTCGCTCAGAGTCTTCAGAATACAGGAGAACAAAGACCTCTTTAGCAATCCTTCTCCCCAGAGCAGAGCATTTAACATGTACAGTACAAGTGAATGAAAATGGACAGGCTGCCCATTTAATGACAGCTGGGCTGGGATGTCTTATCACATTCAGCTCTGGTAGGTAGAAAGAATGATTTTACTGCTAGTATGTTTATATTCAGCTATTATCATTCCAACAAGAAGGCAGTTTTGAGCCCAAAGGGCTGTGCATGGGGAGATGAGTTTCTGTGCCAGGAGATAGACGAGGCACTCGGGCGTTGGCATTAATCAAACTCCACACGGGGAGAAACTCCCCATGACATTGCGTCACTTTCCTCACTTCCAAAAGGTGAAATAAAGAAGCGAGGTATCCTTCTGACAAAAGTGCTCATCAATGAAAGCCAAATTGATTCCTGCAACAGGCAGTTCCCACCTCCGCCCTCAAACCGAAACCACCTGCAGATACTTCAAATGAGATGCAGTGCCATCCAAAAAAGGACAAGTCCATTAGGAGGAACAGGAATTTAATTACAGGGTATTTTATCAGCAGTTTGAGTTGAGGATCAAGAGGCACAACAGCAGAAGGGCCATCAAGGAAGGCAGATTACCAGAAATTAGGCTTCTTCACGAATCAGACTGACAGCTGTGGGAACCCAGAGAAGGAGGCTCCTTGCTCTCTGATGAGAGGGCTGGGAAGCTGTGGAAGTAACAGATAAGAGGGACAAAAGGAGGTGATTTCAAAGAAAGGGGGTAGGAAGCAGAGCTTGTTTACTGTCTGTCAGGGAGACCTGGAATGGTAAGGGCAGCAGTCGAATCAGAGGGTGTGCAAGGTTTGTGCTTGAGTCCCATGTTTTAGTCCTGGTCCCTCACCTTGATGCAGTGTTTCCTAAACCTTTAATATCCAGGCCACAGGGTTTGAGGCATTGAAATGGGCTCACTTCACTCCTGAAATCCAAAAGATTATACATATATTTCCACAGCCAGCTCCCAGAACAATGGGCTGGCATCTTCCTCACAACTGTAAGATTGCTGCGCTAATATCGCCTCTGAGTCAGAGTTCACAAGGATGGGACCCATGCTTTCCAGACAATGGGGTGTGTCTGGGATTCCCCACACTTTTCAGTGGCAATACTTTGATCCTCTGTTATTCCCTCCCTGAGATGATGTCATGCCTCTCAACTGTCCCGGGAAAACCAGGACATCCTGTTTTACCATGCAAGAGCACAGTGGCCATCTTGGATGCCACAACCTCACCCTGAAAAGGTAGCTCCAGTGCCAGATTAAACCCTGTGGAGACCCCCAGGCAGTCGAAATCTCAAGGGCTCCCCCCCAACAAATTATCTCCTAATACGTTCTTGATTTTACCAATCGACAATTCTAATAAACCAATTTTATTACACAATATTATTTTGATCCATTGTCGCAGGACCCCTAAAAGGCATGGGGCCCTTAAGCCGGTGCCTACTCGGCCTATTTGGTAATCTGGCACTGTGCAGATCAAATAAATCACCCTGGAAGACACATGGCCTGAAGGAGCGTCTCCACCCCCATCGTTCTGCCCGGACGCTGAGGTCCAGCGCCGAGGGCCTTCTGACGGTTCCCTCATTGCGAAAAGCAAAGCTACAGGGAACCAGGCAGAGGGCCTTCTCAGTAGTGGCGCCCGCCCTGTGGAACGCCCTCCCATCAGATGTCAAAGCAATAAACAACTACCTGACATTCAGAAGACATCTTAAGGCAGCCCTGTTCAGGGAAGTTTTTAACGTGTGATATTTTAGTGTATTTTTGGTTTCTATGGAAGCCGCCCAGAGTGGCTGGGGAAACCCAGCCAGATGGGCGGGGTACAAATAATAAATTATTATTATTATTATTATTATTATTGCCTGGTTTTGAGCCTGGACATGTTGGAGGGTATGTGATGTCACTGCCCATATATGAGCAAAAAGAGGAATCAATACTACCAGGGGTTTCCCCACTGTGACAGGCATAAAGTGGTGGATGCTTCCACCTTGACGGTTTCCTTTTTCATGGCATACTTGAAGTCATCTTGCTGCACACTGGTGTGCTCTTGATGCCAGCGCACTTGAAGAGGTCAGAAGTGGGGAAACACCTATTGGTATTGCTGCTAAAACTCTTATATCTCACTACACAAGCATATAGGGATGGGGAACTAACTCTATTTTGCTTGCATCTTAAAGAGAAATGACCCATTTCACACTTTGTGAACCAATGCATAAACCAAAACACAGCTACCCTTTGAAGTTTGCACTTAACCAAATTTTGTGATGAAATTCTCCAGACAAAGAAAATAGGCATAAAAATGAACACGTCATGGAAATAACTTACAACCACGTATTATATTAGGGATAGCTGCTTGCAAAACAGTGTATGTTAATCAAAACTACATACAAAAATGGGTTTATTAGTAGAAATTCACACTAAAATGCTGATTTAAGTTTTGCAAAGATTTTGTGTTTTTAATTCACAAATTGCTGCAGAAATGTGGAGAACTGGATTTAATTGGAAAAGTGATAAACGGAAACAACTGAAACAGACAGATTTATCCCTTCCGATGAGTACGATTTACCTTTACTTAATTTCAGCTGTAAGGTTGGTCTGCATTACTTTTAACTTGGTTTGATTTTCCCCCCTTCAGTTGCTTGGTTGATTGCTCTTTATGCAGGTGTGCAGAGTTGCTACCTGTGCTGTACAACTGCAACCCTTCAGCCCATTCAATCTATAGGCATCACCTGTCATGGCTGCACAGTTTAATGTGAAACACTGGAAAAACACATTTGAGGCTCTTTTGACTATTTCTCTCTCTTTCCATTTTTGTCAGTGCAGAAAACATGCATATGACACCGCAAACTGTGCATTTTCCACCAATGTACATTTTTACAACTGTGTTACAGAAAGCAGCAGCACACACGGTGGCTTCACTTCACTTGGGGAGTTGTGACTTGATGTGTAGTGCATGTACGTATGTGTCACAAAAGGTCTGCTCTGTGAATGCAAACGTATTTCCATTGCACCAGCCAACAAATGAAGATCTGCCCCTAAACATAAGAGGCATGTGGAGGCGTTTGTCCCCATCGGGCAGGATACGATACATTAGGCAAGTCTGTATGTGCATTTTTTGGTCTTCCTGCCTGCTGTGCCAGCAAGACAGATGGCCAGCCCTGGAGCAAAGCGCAGCTGGGAGCATGTTACCCCAATGTTGCAGCGTCTGCATTATTCCTCATATTCTTTCAGGAACAATTCCAGGCACTGTACAGCTTAGCCCAAAGTACCTGCCTCTTCTGTAATGCCCTCTTGTGATTTCTAACTTTGAAAGAGAGTGCCCCCTTGAGGCTACTGTCCTTGCATCAAATGAGAACAGCTTCACCACGCAGAAAAGCATTCTCTATAGAACTCCCATCCCCCCCTGGAGATATGCCAGAATTTCTATATGTCTGGCTTTGGGTACCCAAGTGAATACAGTGTTGTGTGGGTGGGTGTGTTGGAAAAGCTGAATACAGTGGTGAGTGTGTGTTTCTGAAAAGGTTTTGTGAACCATTACCTGCTTAAATGAGTTTCAACTATATAATTTATATTTGCTTTGTAATGTATTCTTACCAGCTTGTGCCTTTGGGCTGGTGTGGGGCTATTCATTTGACTAACTAAAGGATCATCATGAGAATTTCTCCAGTTTGCTTTTTCCCAAGATCATTTAACTTTTTGAAATTTGTATACAAGCATTCTTCTTTCTACTCCTCTCTCTCTCTCTCTCTCTCTCTCTCTCTCTCTCTGTGTGTGTGTGTGTGTAGCTAGCATCACACAGGTGGTTTTGAAGCATCTCCAGACCTACATGCCCATATCTCATGGCAAGCAGAATGCAAGGCTTTTTTTTTATTATCTGAAAGCATCAAAATCTTCCATAAAGTAAATTAACAAGGTTCCCTGGGCAAAAAAAGAGAGAATTACTAAAACATATGTTCTAAAGCAGAGATGGGCAGAAGGTAGATTGGGAACTACTGGTAGATCTCTAAGTGATTTGCAGGTGGTGAGGGTTGGGGAACCCGTGGACCTTCAAATGTTGCTGGACTACAACTCCCATAATCCTTGACCATTGACCATGCTGGCTGGGGCAGATGGGAGGTGGAGTCCAACAGCCTCCAGAAGGTTCACCATCCCTGCAGTAGTTCAAGAAGGATTGATTTATTAGGCTGCTGAGATAAGGAAAGCTGGGAGGCGGGGATAAGCAGGAGTGGGGTTTGGTGTGACAGGCCTGTGAGTACTGAAAACAAATCCCTGGGCTTCGCATGTCTTCAGAGACACTCTGCTCCTTAGTTCTGGATATGTTGCCCCCTCTTCTCCCACCACTGTTTGGCAACTTGCTCCAGTTGAGAGCCTTTGGGGGTTCTAGTAAAAAATGCAACAAAATAGTTCCTGCAAACCTGGAAGCCTACCCTGAACTAAAAACAAAGAAGGAACAGAAAGGAAATCAACCCTTTGATGCTCATATCTACCTGGTAAGTGTGACATAGGCAATACTTGGCCCACACTGCTGGTAGAGTTTCAGTGCTAAGGAATAAAGCTACATAATATTTGGTTGCTGTCGCCATCTTCTGGCAGGAAGTCCTGTTGTTCACCCAGCAACATAAGCATAACCCAAGATGTTCACATTCTCCTTTTATTCGTTCTCGTTCCACGTCAGATCTATACCCTCTGAGTTCAGTTCAGTTACTCCAGCGGAAGAAAGACAAAAACTGGGTCCCCACCATACTTTCCTGAGATCTCTTTTTGGCAGAGATGTGAGCATGATTTGATCTGTTGCCCTGCGAGCCAATAAGCTGCAGGATCTGTCAGAAGACTCCAGAACACTCAGGCTGTAGGGTCAGAACAGGAAAAAGAGAAGTTTCATCCCAAGAAATAAGAAAAGAAGACAGCCTGGGAGGAGTAGGAGCAGGGCAAAACTAGAAGAATTGCAGATACAACACCTAACGTAAATAAACATGTCCCTATCATTACATTGGGATGCGGGTGGCGCTGTGGGTTAAACCACAGAGCCTAGAACTTGCTGATCAGAAGGTTGGTGGTTTGAATCCCCGTGACGGGGTGAGCTCCCATTGCTCGGTCCCTACTCCTGCCAACCTAGCAGTTCAAAAGCATGTCAAAGTGCAAGTAGATAAATAGGTACCGCTCCGGTGGGAAGGTAAACAGTGTTTCTGTGCGCTGCTCTGGTTCGCCAGAAGTGGCTTAGTCATGCTGGCCACATGACCCGGAAGCTGTATGCCAGCTCCCTCGGCCAATAAAGTGAGATGAGCGCCGCAACCCCAGAGTCGGCCACGACTGGACCTAATGGTCAGGGGTCCCTTTACCTTTACCTATCATTACATTGCACATAAAGGTTTGTTTCTGCCCTTTGAGGCCATAAAAAACAGGGGAAATGTGGGCTTATCGTTGGGCCCTCCCACATAGTTCTGTTCCTGCTCAGTTCCTCTTTCCACTGGCTCTGCCTCTCCAACACAGAGCATGACCCCTCAGCCATGCCCACATTTCATTAGATGTGAGGAGTGGTTAGTCACCCTCCTTTCTCTGCTGAGGTGAGGAGAGGTGCAAAGGGCTTCTCTCTGTGAGCAATTGTGAGCAACTGATGGAGGGGTGGTGGGGTGTGGGAAAGCAGTGGCATCACCACAACATATACAGAAAAGTTGGCATATTGCCATTTGCATCTATGATTGGCCATCGATAGGATGGGAGGGTGAGCCTATAAACTGCAGGGGCTGCTGAAGGAATGCAAGGTGTCTCTAAGAACAGAAGTCTCAGATGGACTGATTTATTGTACTTCTCCTATGGGATCTCTTTTTGGGGGGGCTGGGCATCAGTTGGGCTGAAGAGTTGTTTTCAAGTGGTGCACTTCCCTCACTCCGCTACCATTCACTTCTGTGGGAGAAAAATAAAGGGGTGTACTTGGGGACACTGTTGAGGAGGGAGCAAAGTCCCCTGTCCTTGCTGACCCCGCTGTCTGGAACTGGGGCAGGTTCCCTCCTCCCCTGCTGTGGCCCGTATGACAACTTTGTCTATAAAATTCAGTGGGAAAACATTCACCAGCCACCCCTGCCATTCAGCCTAGATGCTGAGGTCCAGCTCTGAGAGCCTTCTGGTGGTTCCCTCACTGTGAGAAGTGAGGTTACAGGGAATCAGGCAGAGAGCTTTTTCAGTAGTGGCACCTGCCCTGTGAATGCCCTCTCATCAGATGTCAAGGAGATAAGTAACTATACAACCTTTAAAAGACATCTGAAGGCAACCCTGTATAGGGACTTTTTAATGTTTAATGTTTTATTATGTTTTTGTATATGCTGGAAGCAGCCCAGAGTGGCTAGAGCAACCCAGCCAGATAGTAGGGATACAATTATTATTATTATTATTACAGTGGTACCTCGGGTTAAGTACTTAATTCATTCCGGAGGTCCATACTTAACCTGAAACTGTTCTTAAACTGAAGCACCACTTTAGCTAATGGGGCCTCCTACTGCTGCCGCGCCGCCGAAGCACAATTTCTGTTCTCATCCTGAAGCAAAGTTCTTAACCTGAAGCACTATTTCTGGGTTAGCGGAGTCTGTAACCTGAAGCATATGTAACCTGATGCATATGTAACCTGGAGCATATGTAACCCGAGGTACCACTGTATTATTATTATTATTATTATTATTATTATTATTAAGCAGCTCCCTTTGCATAGCTCAGCACAGGCTTCCATGTCCTCCTGCACTGATATCGGAGAACCTGGGGGGACCTGCTTCCTGCACCTTCTCGGGCGGTGTGTCACAGATGTCCTGGTGGAATCTGGTGACATCACAAACCATGCCGAGAGCAATCTAGTATTTCCATTGGAGGGCCTGTTTGAGGTCAGCGCCCAGGGCTCTATCTACATCCCTGGGAGTTCGAGGAGAGGAGATGAAGTATTTTGAGCTGGTGACAACAAAAAACGTGGTATCTGCGGCAACAGGAGCTGGAGCTATCTTCCTCATGGCCAAGACCATCATGGCAGGGATCAAGAGCCCTCCCTACAACCCAGAGCCACTTACCTTAGCCAGTGAGTTATGTAATGCTCCCAGCATGGCAGTTTTCACAGGCCCTGGTTTAACTCTCAACAACCATCTGCCTATCTATCTATCTATCACATTTATATCCCAGCTCTTCTTGGAGTTCCAAGTAGCATACATGATTCTCTCCCCCGTCCATCCCATTTTTAACCCCTACAACAACCCTATGAGGTAGGTTAGGATGAGAGGCAGTGACTGGCCCAAATTCACCCAGTGAGCTTCATGGCTGAGTAGGGATTCAAATTCTGGTTTCCCAGGTCCTAGTCCAATGCTCTAACCACACCACCACACTGGCTCTCCAAGCAAACAGTATGGAGGGAATTGGTCTTTTGGATAGGCTCCTGCTGAATATGTGAGAACGGTATAGACATTTGCTGAAACAAATGCCATATGCACTATTGCATGGTGCCACATTCTGCTAATCAGCCATAAAACAGGCTCTCAGATATCTACCAATGGCCAGTGGAGTTCAGGCAGGAAGGCCACACCCAAGGCCTTTCCCCCAGCCAGACTGGGTATAGTTTTTAAAATTTAAATCTCATACATGATCTCTGAAAGTGTGCAACAAAGGAATATATTTGCTCTTAAATTTGCATCTCTGATTTAGAAATACTTGTCGAGTTGCTTCTTTTGGGTCTGTGTTGTCTTCTAATACCCACCTTGCAAGTGCCGGTTGTAGACGTCTTAGCTTTGTGCATCTCTCTGGGCTGAAGCAATCTGCTTAATGAAATGTGAACTGCCATGAATTAAATATCAGGCCCCTCTAACTGGCTGCACTCCTCGCAATAGCAGCATCCTCCTCCTGAGAAGGACAGCTCTGAGAGAGGACTTTGCTGAAATAGGAGATAGCATAAACACATGACCTTTGAAGAAGAAGACACACTGTCAGAAGCTGCCATATACTGAGAATATTTGGTCTATTTAGCTCAGTGTTGTCCATAATGATGGGCAGCGGCCTTCCAGCATTTCAAACATGGGTTTTCCTGACCCCTACCTGGACATATCAAGGGTTGAACCTGGGATCTGCCTAACAGAAAAGCAGATACTCTCCAACTGAGCTCTGATGCTTCCCATGTCGAAACACATGTTATTCCATTTAGTACGACATGCTCCATTCAGCTCACCTATCACTGCTCTTTTTGCCTCCTTGCCCCCCTCGGGACCTCTTGCCTTCCTTCCTTTCCTGTGTTTAGAACTCGCTATAGAGCACCAGAGTCAAACTGTGCTGGACTCTGGAGAACTCAGGGGACTCCTGAACACCCTCAACCCAAAGCTAGATGACTACTCCAAGAATATGCTACTCCATGGCATCACCCGGTGTGTTTATCTACTGGACAATGAGGTGAGACTCCAGAACTGCATGATGTAAAGTACAGTGGTGAAAGAGCAAGTCCAAGGAAATCAAGTGTGGGTTGGCCAGCCAGGTTTCATCCAAGTAACCAAGTTCAGGACGGAGGCAGTTTTAAGGTAGCACAACCAGTTGGGCTGCACTGGGCGCCAGGGTGCACCATAGCAATGCTGTAGAACGGAGTGGGAGAGGTGAGGGGGCACCATATTTTAGCATCACACATGGCACTGCTGAAATTTGAGAGCCCAAAGTCCGCCACTGTTGGTGACCAAAGCTACACCTGATAATGGCAGCCTGTGCATCTAAAAATGGGTCTTTGATTTAAGCTCTCCTCCTGTCCTCCACTGCCCCCTCCACTGGCAATCCCTCCCATCAGCCACTTATCTCCCAGCAGGACTCTGATACTGGAGTCTGGTTTAAAGCAAAAAGAGCTGTGTAAGAGAGAGGATAGTGGATTACAAGGGGAGAAATGGTGATCTGGGGAGAGTTTTACACCCACCCACCTATTTTTCGACTGATTGGGGCAAAGCCATATTTAAAGGTGGCATATTTTGGCCAACAGTCTTGCGTTCTGGCAAGTTGCTGCAAAGTGAGAGGCAAATCCCTCAGAAGCATGCACATTTTTGGAGGACTCAGAATGTAAAAGGGAATGTAAAAGGGATGTTTCAGTTGTTTCACCAACCCTATGAAATTCTCTGCCTCAAGAAATTCACCTGGTTCTTTTGGCCACTACCTGGAATTTTGGTGGGCCCTTGGAATGAATGTGGGTTAATTTTGCTGGCTCGCTTCTTTTTTGTTTTGGTTCTTTTCCTTTCCTCCCCCCATATTTTCCTTTTCTTTTGTTAATTTTATCTGCCACTTGTTTACTTGCATTTTGCTGTTTCTTGCCATGGTCTTTTTAATTATGCCCCGTTAGCTGCCTTGAGCGGTTTTGGTCTGGAACTACAAAGGTGGAGTATAAGTGCTATGAATGATTGAATGAATGGTTTTGTCCAAGCAAGATGAGCACCGCAACCCCAGAGTCAGTCACGACTGGACCTAATGGTCAAGAGTCCCTTTACCTTTATGAACCTGTCTGGATCCTGAGACTATCACGTGAGGCCCTTCTCTGTGTGCCCCCTCTGAGGACAGTTAAGAGGGTGGCAATGAGAGATGGGCCTTCTCCATAGTAGCCCCCCACCCCACCCCATAGAGCCTCTCCAAGAAGGCCTGCCTGGAACTAACCTTCTCATTTTTCAGTAGCAAATGTGCTTTTGTTTTCCTGAGTGTTATTGAGTTATTGTATTGTTAAATATATTTTCAATTCATATGTGATTTTATGAGGGTATTTTTTTACCTGGGATGTAAATTGCATAGAACAGGCTTCCTCAGCCTCGGCCCTCCACATGTTTTTGGCCTACAACTCCCATGATCCCTAGCTAGCAGGACCAGTGGTCAGGGGTGATGATAACTGTAGTCTCAAAACATCTGGAGGGCCGAGGTTGAGGAAGCCTGGCTTAGAACTTTCTTTAGTGGGAAGCAACACATAGATGTAATAAACCTAACCTAACATCCCTTTGACTTTGCGTGCTCTGTTTTTCCAGGCTTCTGCCTGTACATATGAGGATATCAAACTGGTGGCCTCCTTCCTGGATGATCCAGACATTGGCATCAAGATTCAGACTCTGCATGCCCTCAAGGCCTTCACTGGCATTTGGAAGTTTAGAATTAGGATTCAGGTGATTGTTTGTACCCCACAGTGCTTTTCCGTATCAGGCTACATGCAGTGGATCTCAACTTCAAGGAAGAGGCATTTACGTATCACCAGAGGGGACAATTCAGTCACGGAAAGTAACCCACAGTGATCATAAAACACTATGTTTTCTGCAGGAGTTTTTCCCCAAGGTTCTCGAAATGGTCGCCAGCATCTGGGACCACGACTTACATGCTGCTGGACTGAGGCTGCTGAATGGGCTCCCATTGTCAGATCACACATTTCCACTGGTGAAGAAGCTTATGCCGGCCTTCATGGAAATTCTGCAGATGGGAAACACTTTGTGTCAGGTACCAAGGCTTATCCCTTGTACCCAACTCCTAAATCAGGGATGGAAAACTCCTGATGTTGTGGGACTCCCAACAGCCCCAGCCAACATGGCCAATCATCAAGGGATGATGGAGGTTGTAGCTCAACAAACATCTGGACGGCCACAGGTCCCTCTTCCCTGTCCTAAATCCTGTGAGGGCATTAAGTGGAAGCCATAAAACAAGAGACACTTCACCTGTAATGTTGATAAACTTGCAACTGTCTTTTTCAGGTGCAGGTTCTAAAATTCCTTGGCACGCTAGCCCAAAAGGAAGCTCTGTTATTTGACATCATGAACTGCCAGGTGAGGATTTCAGTCCTGTCTTTGTTGGGAAACCTGGGAGAGGAAGGAAGCAAAAGGTGCCAGAAGGCAGCAATCCTAGACTTCCATGTCTGCTGCAGCTTAATGCAGTGGCATTAACAGAGCAAAGTGCATCGCCTTCCTGCTGCCTGGGATGTCTTCCTAGTAGAACAGGGATACAGTTATTTTTAGCCTGAGGGCTGCCTTCCTTTCTGGGCAACCTTCTGAGAACCACATACCAGCAGTGAGTGGGGTCGGAGGCAAAAATGGGCAGAATGTGGCTGGGGAGGGTGTGGCCCAGGAGGAATTCAAAGGGCCAGATAGAAATATCTGGAGGGTGGCATTTGGTTTCCGCCTGAAGAATCTGGAGTTAGTCATCCAGACGGGTAGGACCTGCAGGCCCAAGCGTTGTCCTTTAAGACAAAATCAACCTGGTCTGCTTCTTTTTAAAGGTCCATCCAGATTTCCTCCACCTCTTCCAACCTTCACGACCTGGAAACCTTCTCTTTGAGCTGCTGGTATTTGTGGAACGGCTTTGTGAGGGTCGCCTGACTCCCCAGTACCAGTCAGTGAGCTGGCAGTACAATGAGTCGTCCCTTCATGAGGTCCTTTTTGGGGACGATTCCCGCCTAGCCGACCGCCTCCTCTCGCTCATCATTCACCCAGAGGAAGAGGTGCAGATCCAGGCCTGCAGGGTCATCCTGAAGCTCCAGCTCAACGAGGAAGGGGAGATGGCTTTCCTCCACAACTATGATTCTACCTTCTTTTCTGACTCCAAAATTGGCAGCTCACTCATTAAATCGGGCTGTTAAGCCCTTGTAGGATTTAAGAGATAATTAAATTATTTTAAACAGAAACCATGGAGCGAAAGTAATGGTTTGGGGGAGAAGTGATGTGGTGAGGTGTGACCTGCCTAAGCCGTTCTCAGAGAAGCAGCTGTGAGGTTAAGTCTGTGGCAGACTACTGTTGTGCTCCTAAGAAACCAGCAGAGTGCAATCTTAGTCTTGTTGCACCACCGCAAGGTTGGAGTAACCTATCGACAGTATCTAGCAAAGCCCAGCACAAATTTGAGGAGCAAGTAACATGGAATGGAGCAACAACAGCTACCCCCCCCAGTGCCCATGGCAACACTACCAATCGTGGGCTGACATCATCTCAGCCAGCCATACAAGGAGCCAGTCCTTACTGAGTTCTAGGAATGGTATAATGCTGATGTTAGGAGTAGGGTTGCGAGTACAGGAGCTGTCATCTGTCTACTCATTCATCACTCCCACATCTGTACTCCTTTTCGGTCATTCCACCAGCAGTGTTGTCCTGGCAGTGCAGCGTTGCATGGAGTTCCACTAGCATATCCACAAAGTTGTGCTGGCGTATCTTCCCTGGTTGAGTTGTATCCGGCATTTTTCCACTCCCCCTTATACCTTTTGGCTTCCCAGCCAGTATAGGCCTAAATACAGGCTTGTACCCTTAAACAGCTTATTATAGTCTGAGTTTTCATAGGCAACAGATGCACCAAGTGGGGGAAGGGACAATGGAGGATAAATCAAATTAACAAAGCGCGAACTTTTTGACTTTCTCTCTTGCTTCCTGCATGACTTCAAGACAATCAAATCACAAATAAAATACTTAACACCCTATTACCAAATGTGACCTACGAAGCAATCAGGCTCCATTCTTCACTTCTGTCACAATATTTTGGATGTTCGTGAAACTGATTACTAGCCACTGCTCTACAAACTCAGAAGCAATCAATACAAACTTCAGATTCTTCCATCTAAACTTGTGTTTTGTACATGGATGGGTGGAATGGCACCCAGTCCCTACAGCAGACTATGGTCTGTGCCAGCCAAGTACAGTGGTACCCCGCAAGACGAACGCCTCGCAAGACGGAAAACCCGCTAGACGAAAGGGTTTTCCGTTTTGGAGGCGCTTCGCAAAACGAATTTCCCTATGGGCTTGCTTCGCAAGACGACAGCCCATAGGGAAATCTCAGGGACAGCGGGAAGCGCAGCGCGTCTTCCCCACTGTCCTCGGACCTCCTCCGAAGCCTGGCGGCGGGGCGGGGACACCTCCTCCCGCCGCCGCCGGGCTCGGAAGGCTCCTCCGAGCCGGGCGGGGGAGGGAACACCTGCCGCCGCCGCCCGGCCCGGGACGGTGCTCCGAGCCGGGCGGGGAGGGAAGACCTCCCGCCGCCGCCCGGCCGGACGGTGCTCCGAGCCGGGCGGGGGAGGGAAGACCTCCGCCGCCGCCCGGCTCGGAACGGTGCTCCGAGCCGGGCGGGGGAGGGAAGACCTTCTGAAGGCGGGCGGGGGCGAAGTCTTTGCTCCCCTGCCTGCCTGTCCCGGAGGGCTTTTGAAGGCGGGGAGCAAAGACTTTCGCCCCCGCCCGCCTTCAGAAGAGGTCCAGGACCTCTTCTGAAGGCTGGCGGGGGCAAAGTCTTTGTCCCCCTGCCTGCCTTCCCAGGGGCTTTAAATTGCCCCGGACAGCGGAGAAGTCCTCCGCTGTCCCGGGGTGATTTTAAAATGCCGCCCGCCAGCATTTTAAGATCGCCCGGACAGCGGAGAAGTCCTCCGCTGTCCCGGGGTTTTAAAATGCTGGGGGTGGGAAGAAAAGCCCTTGCCCCCAGCCTTCAGAAGAGGTCCGGGGACAGACTGTCCCCGGACCTGGTCTGAAGGCGGTTTCCTAGGAACGCATTAATTGATTTTCAATGCGTTCCTAGGGGAAACCGTGCATCGCAAGACGAAAAACTCGCAAGACGAAGAGACTTGCGGAACGAATTAATTTCGTCTTGCGAGGCACCACTGTACTGAGCATGGAGTGAGGAAGATGCTCCTTCATGGAAGCTACCAGAATATGAGCTGGCCATGTGATCAAACTCTTCATTCTGTTGGGATCAAACCAAAGAGAAATACTGTCATTATCACTTGATCTCTCTGATTATGCATCCAGGGTTCAATAAAGCCTTGATGAATGGCTTCCATTGGTCCACATGTTTCTTTGGGATTGTGCTGCCTTGTTAAAACCAACTGGTCACAAAGGGATGCAAGCCCCAATAATTTATCTGCCACTAGGTAGTGTAGCTGGGGAAAGGAGAGATGTCCCTCCTTAAAGGAGCTATGTCAAGAAACGTGAGTCACTTCCCTCCCACCAAGAGGAGTTTCTACCATGGATAATCCAAAATGCCCTCCAAGAACCAGAGGAGAAACACATCTGTCCAAAGTCCATCCCATATGAGCAGACCCAATGACAAAAGCCACTGCTGACCTAATATCATTCTATCCCATAAAGTGGCCTGTTCCCAGTTCTGTAAACCAATTCATACAATCCAGTTTGACACACTGATTATGTGTTATGTGGATTCACACAGCATTTGCAATGGGCAGAAAATCGCCATGAGATTGCTGCAGCATATACTCAATTTGTATTCCACTCCACAAGCATTGGAAATATGCTTCCATGGCTGGAAAAAGATTTGTTGTGGATAACATTACACAGGCTGCTTACCCATAAGTTCAATTTACCACAGTAGCCTGAGAGCTCTTTCTTGCAAGCCTAAAATCATGAAATTTTGGGACTGGCAGGGCTGGAGTGGGGACAAACTACACATGTGACAGATAAAAACATCACCTTTTAGGTATTTTCCAGGTTTATGTGTTTAGTGTCCTTGCATTTTAAACCTTCCCATTTCCCGATACTACTACCAAATTTTTGCCCAATTTTGATATTTATGCTGGATTAGTGCTGGTCCTCGTGGCTTTTGGTAAAGATTTCAAATCCAGTTTTGAGATTTTTGTGCTGTTTTACAGATGTGTGTTTGACATGTCATTTTGGGAAGTTTTTTCTTGAAAATGGTCCACATTTTCCTTAAAGAAATGAATCTGTCAACTTTTCAACATTCTACGAAATCTGACACTTACCGTATTTTTCATTCTATAGGACGCACATTTCCCCCTCCAAAAACTAAGGGGAAATGTGTGTGCGTCCTATAGAGCGAATGCAGGCTGCGCCGCTAAGCCCAAAGCCAGAACAGGAAGACGGAGCACTGCGGAGCCCTCCGTCTCGCTGTTCTGGCTTGGGAACAGCCTTGCTAGCTTCTGCAGGACAGCGGGGTGAAGGCACCCCGCTGCCCTGCAGAGGTTTGCGCGCAGCCGTCCCCAAGCTAGAACCGCGAGACGGGGGCCCTCCGTCTCGCTGTTCTGGCTAGGAACAGCCTGCTAGCTTCTGCAGGACAGCGGGGTGAAGGCACCCGCTGCCCTGCAGAGGTTTGCGCGCAGCCCTCCCCAAGCTAGAGCAGCGAGACGGAGCCCTCCTTCTCGCTGTTCTGGCTTGGAACAGCCTGCTAGCTTCTGCAGGACAGCGGGGTGAAGGCACCCGCTGCCCTGCAGAGGTTTGCGCGCAGCCCTCCCCTTGGAGCAGGTTTGCGCGCAGCCGTCCCCAAGCTAGCAAGGCTGTTCCCAAGCCAGAACAGCAAGACGGAGGGCTCCGTCTCGCTGCTCTAGCTGGGGACGGCTGCGCGCAAACCTGCTCCAAGGAGGGCTGCGCGCAAACCTCTGCAGGGCAGCGGGGTGCCTTCACCCCGCTGTCCTGCAGAAGCTAGCAGCTGTTCCCAAGCCAGAACAGCGAGACGGAGGGCTCCGTCTCGCTGCTCTAGCTTAGGGAGGGCTGCCCGCAAACCTCTGCAGGGCAGCGGGGTGCCTTCACCCCGCTGTCCTGCAGAAGCTAGCAAGGCTGTTCCCAAGCCAGAACAGCGAGACGGAGGGCTCCGTCTCGCTGCTCTAGCTTGGGGACGGCTGCGCGCAAACCTGCTCGCCGGGGAGGGCTGCGCGCAAACCTCTGCAGGGCAGCGGGGTGCCTGCACCCCGCTGTCCTGCAGAAGCTAGCAAGGCTGTTCCCAAGCCAGAACAGTGAGACGGAGGGCTCCGTCTCGCTGCTCTAGCTTGGGAGGGCTGCGCGCAAACCTCTGCAGGGCAGCGGGGTGCCTTCACCCCGCTGTCCTGCAGAAGCTAGCAGGCTGTTCCCAAGCCAGAACAGCGAGACGGAGGGCTCCGTCTCGCTGCTCTAGCTTGGGGACGGCTGCGCGCAAACCTCTGCAGGGCAGCGGGGTGCCTTCACCCCGCTGTCCTGCAGAAGCTAGCAAGGCTGTTCCCAAGCCAGAACAGCGAGACGGAGGGCTCCGTCTCGCTGCTCTAGCTTTGGGAGGGCTGCGCGCAAACCTCTGCAGGGCAGCGGGGTGCCTTCACCCCGCTGTCCTGCAGAAGCTAGCAAGGCTGTTCCCAAGCCAGAACAGCGAGATGGAGGGCTCCGTCTCGCTGCTCTAGCTTGGGGACGGCTGCGCGCAAACCTCTGCAGGGCAGCGGGGTGCTTCATCCCACTGTCCTGCAGAAGCTAGCAAGGCTGTTCCCAAGCCAGAACAGCGAGATGGAGGGCTCCGTCTCGCTGCTCTAGCTTGGGGACGGCTGCGCGCAAACCTCTGCAGGGCAGCGGGGTGCCTTCACCCCGCTGTCCTGCAGAAGCTAGCAAGGCTGTTCCCAAGCCAGAACAGCGAGACGGAGGGCTCCGTCTCGCTGCTCTAGCTTGGGGACGGCTGCGCGCAAACCTGTGCAGGGCAGCGGGGCGCTGCGCTCCAAAGGCTTCAGGGATCTTTGAGGCTGGCGGTGGGGGAAAGCAGCGCTTCCCCCCCCCGCCAGCCCCACAAGCTCGGGGGAATGTACCTTGAACGCACCTTGCTTTGGAGGGGGAGAACAAGAAAAAAAATCTTTTTCCCTGTTCTCCCCCTCCTATGATCCGGTGCGTCCTATGGTCCGGTGCGTCCAATGGAGCGAAAAATACGGTAAATATAATTGAGGAAAAGCTTTGGGAGCACACAGGTTTCCAGGAAAGGAGGTACTGTATATGAAAACTGCTAAATGCTTGGGACTTAGGAAAATTCACATTACATTTCAAAGTCCAGATGTCAGGTCAAGGGTCTCCCAAGACAATTCAATTAGTTATTTTACATTAGAACATTTATTTCTCAGAGAGAAAATATAGCTTCAGACAGTCAGATTATAGTAGGTAAAATTAGCATTTTTTTTCTTTACAAGCATAGAATTTTATTACCTCTTTTATACCATCTGATATAAACAGTTCTAGAAAGCAAATAAACTCACTTTCTATAATAAATAGAGCCATCTGTGCTTTACAGCAGACTGACAAGTCACGTTTAGGTCCCATAGCAACAGCAGGATATTAGCCAATTCAAATCCTTAAAATGTAATTTTAAAAAAATGATAAAAGTAAAATGCAAGATCTTAAAACAGTTATACATAAGTCACAAGTCCACAGCTGAGCTACAACCTGGGAAAAGTGTATGTTGCTTTAAATTAATTACACTGTGTGCATACAAAAGACCCAGCAACACAACCGAGGACTTCAAGAATGGTAACAATCGGCCTGAATAATTTAGAATAGTATTTTACAACTATGTACAGAAGTTCCTTCCACAGCCACACTCTTTAGGCATTATCAACTTTTTTTAAAAAAAATCCTATTCTTATTCTTTATATGTCACAGATATTTTCCATAAAGTGTGGTTTTATGTCCCCAATATATAAGATGTGGTACTATTTTAAAAAGTAGACCACATAGAAATGGCAGTGATTTCCCCCTTATTATTAACATTTTGTTCCACAATCTCTTTAGTATGAAGAAAAATTAAAATAATAAAAAAATACTGAGTTAAAAAGAAAAGAAACAATTATATTTTAAAATTACAATCTTGCTTTGCACCTTTGGTTTGTAACGCTTAAAAAGACATAGAGAAATCTAGACAAATCAGAATTCAAATGTGAAACGCTTTGTCAACTTGCAAACTTCAGCTTTCCCTGTTTATCCAGCGCATGCAAGTTAAAAGCTAGGATTCTCGGTGGAGTTGCACACTTGACTTTAACGGATTCCAGTAATGAAGGTTCATAGAGAAAGAAATATTTATGGGCGAAGCTAAGGGTGAAACTGCAATGTGTTCTGGTGAGCAAGAAAAGAGACACTGTTCCAAATTCAACCCAAAACAAGATGGGGGGGGGGAATTTTGAGGGCAAAGGGGAACTGCAGTTTGACACTAATGCCCTGACCCAAAGCTCCACACAGCAATATACACATGGCACTCTATGCAAGCAGGTACTGCACCATTTAAAGGGGGAGAAATCTCTGCACATGCCACGAGGTGCACAATGGCCACATGGAAACCTGCTTCTGCATACAGCCAGCCTCCTCTATAGACATCCAGCAATCATGCGGCTTTATGGGTCAGGGTGATGATGTACAGAAGCGAATGAGGCAGCTCTTACTCAGACAGAACTTCTGTACGCAGTGCCCCTAAAATGGAGCTATGTGTTGGAAGTTTTTAAAACCAACAAAGTTCTGTTTTTGTCGTGTCCTAGTAAATCTTAGTACTTAGTACAGCATTGCTCCAGTGGATTAGGTGCTTCCCAAAAGAAGATTTAAAACACTGTTTTGCCCAGTTTCAAACATGTTCTTAACCTGAAGTTGAAATGTAAAAACTACTTCATAAATGTAATCACACAAAACATTTCACAAGTGATTTCATCTTCATATTTAAAGCTCTGTGCATTTAAATGTGCATGAGGGCGGAGGGAAAACCCACCAAAATATTATCTCTATCCTTCCTGTCAGTAAGATCTAACATAAAAACCTATATAAACCTAGGCATGAGGCTTCTAGACTAGCCTTTAAATGTATAAATGCAGTGGGGCAAACCAGTGCTTTTTAAAATAACATGAAAAAGTATGTTGAATATTAAATTTGGCACACAAGAGTCATCTAAAGGATAAAGGATTATTTATAGCAGTGGCAGGCTCCAGATAATTCTTCGTTAGCTGAACTCGGGACTAGCTGAAGAATGAAACACAAGAGACTCGTGAGACTTGCAGTCCAATCGCCAAATGAGTTCAGCTTTTCCCTTGCCCTATAACCAAGGCCACGGCAGGACAGTGCAGCTGCTCCTGACATCCTCTTCCTAGTCAGACTATTACATCACTTCATTTCCTGCTGGCTCTTCATTGAGACAGATTCAGAAAGAATACAGACAGGCTTTATGGCACATATCAGATAACGTACTTTACAGCTGCTTTCCCCACTACTAGGAATAGTGCATCTCTGTTATGAACGCAAACAGACATAGCATTCACACCGTCCTCCAAGCAGGGAGAATCCCCTGCTGATCAGTGACCCGAGACCCACTGTGCCTATAGATGCAGGCATTATTTCCAGAAAGAGAAGGGAGGGCAGAGCAGGCTCTTTCAGTCCCTACAGATAATTTGGTGTGACAAAAGGGTGGTCTCCCCGAACTCGACTCATATGGATCATGGCCCGGTCATATGCCACCTGGACAGACTTGCGGATGCTGGTTTTTCGTCCCTCCATCATCTTTAGTTTATCCACTGTGTCATCTACTCCAAGAGGAATAACTTTTTCCTGTGGAAGCCACTGCCTGCAGTTCAAGAGCACATAAAGAGGCAAAAATTATGGATGAGAATGCATAAGAAAACACAAGGAAATCTATTTCCAATGATCCTGTGCCTTAGTTTTCTCCCAGACTGCAAAGATTTATTTCCAAATTTACAGACATGTTTGTTGCTATTCATTTTAAGTGGAAACAAGACCCTCAAGGAATGTCAATTAAGTCTGCTGAATAATATTGTGACATGTACACCCTCCAAAAGAAGGAAGTTGTGTAACGACTCTGCTTGGTGCCAAAAGAGGAAGGAAGAAATGGCAGGTCTTCCCTCCTACCTTCTGGGTGCTTAAATTTTAAGCTGCAAATTCATCAGTATAACTTCTTGATACTCTGCAGTCAAAAAAATGTTCTTTCCTTAACCTGTTTACATTTACTCACCATGTCCTCTTGTTGTCAAAGAAAAGGACAAGGAAAAGCTTTTCTCCAACTTCCGCTTGCCTCTGCTCCCCTAACTTCAATACCTCCAGAGGAGGGACGGGAATTGGGACTCCATTGTGAAGGAGGCCCTCGCGAGGCATGTCAGGGTCAATTATCTAAAAACACAAGGCAAAATACACAGGTTGTATTATGGAAACTCATCACCGATCTTAGAAATTCTGCCTGAAGATAAAAGCCCTGTTCTGTAGCACCCAAGGAAACCAGGGAAAGGATGAGTAGGTAGTGAAGAAATCTCATCTATGGTAGTAGAATGTGAATTCTTGATTGCAATTAAAGGAACAAGCTTCACAACCATCTGAGCATTTAGGTGGAAGCAGCATGGATCCAAGAAAATTGTGAAGAAGAAGTTAGCAAGGGCAAAGAATTATGTGCAGCAGGGCAGAGCCTAGAGGTGATAAGGCTGGAAGCTGTTTTAGCTAAAAGGTTCAGAAAACACAGCTTTTTTTCACTCTGTATTTCAATTGGTCAGAATTAAGTACTTTAACGCAAGATGAATAACAACCATTCATCTACGCTTTCCAGTCTAGAGAAAACTTAGTAAGCGTTTCTCTCTTATTCCGTACTGAAGAATTCAATAGGTGAACAAGTAAGCAGAAACTTGTGTAATTCTTGGCAAATTAGATTTCAAAATAACTTTATTCAAGAGATGGTACACCATCCCTGCTGACCCAATATCCAGCTGTCCTTAACTTTTTGTTTTGATATTTTAAATTATGACTATTGTAAAGCACAAGCAAGCTACTTGTTATATATTCATACACATGATGCCTATCGCACTTATGTGGGTTGTGTGCCTTACATCTCATTCAACTAACTTGAAACCTAATTTTTGAATGTTTTATTCTAACTAGATTTTGTAATTAGCTTTTAACAGTAGTGGGGACTCTCAGGCCTCTGGCCCTCTGGTCTGCAAAGCCTCCCTATTTGGCCCACAAGACATTTCAACCAAGCTACACTCAACCTGCCCTGCCCCTGACTTCTGGTGTGCAGCAGATAAAGACCCGGCGCAGTTGAATGGGGTTTGTAGACACCCCCGATCAGCTGACTGAAAGCATCTGCAAAGTTGTGTGCACAAAAAATAATAATTAATAAATTCCAAGACACAACAATATTGTGAGCACTTTGCAGTGGGCTTTTATTCATTCCTGAGGAGCACTCTGAAAGGTGCTTTGTGAGTTGTGCATTTGCCTACACAGTATGATTTAAAACCGTGAAGGCAAAAGAGAGTCACCTTACATCATAGTGACATCAAGTGATTGGCAGATGGGCTCCCCACCCACCTGTCAAATTTGGCCCACTGGGGGTGAGGGAGATAATGATCTGGCCTGCTAGGAAGATCCAGTTCCTCACCTCTGCTACACACCTGTACCTGGGAATCAGTCCCACTGAAATCAGTGAGGCTTTCTACTGTGTAGGCATATGAAGTATTTATATTGCACAGGTGTTTTTAAATATTTAACGATAATGATATTTATGGTGTCTGTTTCTTTTTGGTTAAGAGGAAATCATCCAGGGTTTCCTAGCACTGAGATGGCATCTTTCTAGTTAAAATTGTTTATTATATTTTTATCACTGTTTATCCTTCCATGTTTCGAAATGTGGATGTTACTAGGCATATGGCTAAACATATGGTGATAGAGGATTGTTGATTACTACCTATTCTGAGTCATTTATTTGTATATTTATTTTCCACCAAAGCACTGGATGGCAGCTAACAAAAAGAATATGGAGCAGTATAAAGAACATTAAAAATGATTAGAAGGAACAAAGTAACAATATGGCTAGCCATGAAACAATAGCTCAGAGGCCCCCAAGTTTTCACGACGAAAACTTCAGTGTTGTGTAGGGTTCTTCCAGAGGACATCTTCTCCTCCCTCCTCAGCTGAAACTACATTTTGAGCTTAGCACTGTATTATAGGCCACCAAGACGTCCTCCATGGAAAGAAGGTAGCACTGAACCAGGTATACATACCAACGCCGGGTAAGAAGGGTAGCCACGACATTTTGCCCATACAAGTTCCAGAGGTTCTAGTTCTGTGTGCTCCTCAAAGGGCATCAGTAGGTTTGTACCTAAGGAATCGCAATATGAACTGCCTTAGAATCATAGTCTACCATGACAATAACATTTTTCCTTGAAAGCAATTGCAGAGCTATAGATGAAGGCTGCTGTTATGAATATGAAGTTGAGGAAACATATCCTGCATCTTAAATATCACTTGCAGGTTGAAAAATGAAATCAGGCCAAACATGTTAATTAAAAACGAGCAACTATTTCTCATAAGACAACAATATCTAAGGCAACCTTTGCCAACCTGGTGCCCTCGGGAAGCTTTGGACTGCAACTCCCATCAACCTCTGCTAGCATAGCTGATGGGAGCTGCAGTCCAGAAAACCTGGAAGACGCCAGGTTGGCAAAGACTTATCCTACCATCCTCCTTTTATAAGTAGATAAAATGTTTTGTAAGAATGGATCTGGTATAAAGGCAATACATTGCACACCAGGCAGTGCAATCTTATACTCACATTGACCCAGTACAGAAGGCAAGCTACCATTATGTCAGGAGAATAGCTGCCATATCCAATGTGTGCTCAGCTCACAAGGAGGAAAACACACAAGAAAATCCCCAAACAGCGTAAAAACAGACATGCCCACAACATTCTAGAAGCAAGGGGAATACTCACCTAATGGGGACTGTGCATGCCATGCCACACACATAAAGAAGGAACCAATAAACTTATAACAATGGGAACACAGCCCCTGCATCATATGCAAGCTGCCACCCTAACACTCCCACTCCATCAATGGCAAAGCCAACAACAATCCCATTGAGGTCAGTGGCCAGTCATCCCCCCAGGGCCAGGCAAAGGCTGAAATTCCCTTATGCTCCTCACAATCACTGTTTTATGAACACCACATGCAGCAACATAGTATCCTTCTATACCACTTGGAGGCAATTGTAATTAGGCAATGTATACATTGTTTAGGGGACTGATGAGAGCATACACAGCCTTTCTGGGACAAGGTTCAAGACTCAACCACAGAGAAAAATACAGGTAAAATCTACCACTGACTGTTACCATACTAAGCTACTTCCACGAAGACTGAATTCTGAAACATGCAAAAATGTTTTTTTTGCCCAGAATAAATTATGGAAATTAAATCTGAATACATATTTTAGGCAACATTGCCAAATTTATTCTATTCCCCAAATTATGAGCTTCCCCCTATCACACACACTTCACTTTGAAGAATTCAGAATGCTAAAACTTGATTGGCACAGGCCATTTAGGAAGTAGGCTTGGAGACTGGACTGTCAGCTGGGGAAGGACTAGGAAGCAGGGAACCATAACAGTAATGCATATTGCTCCATCGATTTAACACTCTGTGGTCTGAGCCTTCTCCAGATATTGACAACACATTTTCAAGGTTTTCTCTACAGCTATAACATATGGGGGTTTGGGGGGGCGGATGAAAGCCTCATTATAGAACTTGCCCAAACTCTTTTACCTACATCTTTACAGCGGAACTGATCCTGCCATTTCTTAAGTTATAAAAATGGCAAGCTATAAGACTGGCAAAAAATGTAAAGAGCATGTTTAGAAACTGATCCTATGCATGCTTACTTGCAAATAAGTTTCAGAGTTCAGCTGGCGTTGGAAGGCCTTAGTCTCCTTTGGCACAATCCACAGGAAAAAATAACATCCATAACCTAGTTGTACAAATTATAGCTACATGTTATGCTTAAGAAACACCAACACTGTTTTTCTCACCTGAGCTATTGTATTCCAAGTCTCCATTTACACCATCCAAAAAAGGGACCCGTGCAAGAGCAGGCTTTCCTCGGCTACGTTTGTGCGGCGTCAGACCACTGTGAAAAGAGAGCCAAGTGATAAAACAATGCTTAGCTCCAAAATACACCTTGAGCTTCATGGAGTGAAGGAAGAGGAGTGGATAGAATACCGTTGTGGGCAATAACATCTGGACCTGATAAGGGACTTCTGCAGCCTTTCTTTTGGTAAATAACCAGAAGTGGGCGGACAGAGCAGCAATTAAAACCTTACTGTGAAAAGCAGAAATTCATATGAATCATAGATCTGATCAGCTGCTCCTAGGAGAGTTGGATCTGATGCAAAGGACAGGGAAGGTGGGAAACAAGCTAATTCAGGCAGGCTGTGCATTGCTGCGGACATTGGAAGCAGGATGTGATAGGGCAGAAGCAAACCAACATTGTAAGAAAGCTGGTTCTCAATCGACTGTTCTGCAGACAAAAGTTCGGATGTAAAGCCAGAGGGAGAATGGTATTGGCAGTGATGCTCACTTGGGATAGGCAAGCTAATGGCAAGACTGTGCTAAGTATTAAAGGTAAGATAAAGGGACCCCTGACCATTAGGTCCTGTCGTGACCAACTCTGGGGTTGTGGCGCTCATCTCACTTTATTGGCCAAGAGAGCCGGAGTACAGCTTCCGGGTCATGTGGCCAGCATGACTAAGCCGCTTCTGGCGAACCAGAGCAGCGCACAGAAACGCCGTTTACCTTGCCGCCAGAGCAGTACCTATTTATCTACTTGCACTTTGACGTGCTTTTGAACTGCTAGGTTGGCAGGAGCAGGGACCGAACAACGGGAGCTCAGCCCATTGCGGGGATTCGAACCGCCAACCTTCTGATCGGCAAGTCCTAGGCTCTGTGGTTTAACCCAAGGTGCCACCCGCGTCCCTGTGCTAAGTATTAAGGACTACTTAATTATTACTAAGGGATTGGGGTCTACTCTTGACCCTATAACCATCTTGGGATCAAAAGGTAGCTTATCTCAGCAATAGACTGGTAACAAAACACAAAATAATGGAAAACACTGATGCTAAAGAATGAAATAATAATGCAGGCATTAGTGTCACCAATTTACTATATACTGCTTAGAATTATACTGCCTAGAATACAAGGGTTGGAACTTATCACCCCTCAGCTGCCACGTGCTAAAGAGCACACATGCAGCTAAATCAAGATTAGAGCCATAATTCCTCTGGAATGCTGATTTTTTTATTAAAAAACCGCTGGCCTCTGATATGGATGTAAGAGGCACATAAAAGTATAAACGGAAAGAAAAGACTGGAAAATTACCAAGAGAATAATGTTTTTTCTGGGTGAAAGCACCTGGAAGAAGACTTACCTGCAGATGTCAGATGAGAGACCACTACCGAGGCCAGAACTGCACTCTGAGTCAGACCCGCTTTCCATATGCTTCCTGAAGCCATTTGTCACTGGTGCTGAGAAGAATGCATGTGAGAATGAGTCTAACTGTATATACAATGCTATTTTAAAAATTCCTTAGACCACAGATGTGGAACGTCCAGCCTGCAGACCTAATTAGGCCCACTACGCCTCCCCATTTGGTCTGTGAGGCCACTTCAGCCAAGTCACTTCTATCTGCCCTACATCTGGCATGAGGTGTAGGGCAGGTAATGGTGACGCTTGGGCAAAGCTTTGCAGGTACCCCCAACCAGCTGATTGAGAGTGCCTGCAAAGCCCTTTGCACAGTGCTTCCTAAGCACCAACTATCAGTTGAACAGTTGCTGCTAGAAAAGTGCTGAACCCACTTTTTTACCTGTGTGATTTAGCATGCAGGTAAAAAAATATCCAGCTTGGCCAACTTGCTCCCCGTCCCCACTTTAGACACTTAGGAAAGAAAACAGACTACATACACCACAATTCTACAATGCAGCTAACAAGACTATTTGAATCATGTCAAAATTTTGTTGGGAAAAAATGCATTTAAGAGTTTAAAGAATGCATTAAATTCTCATTCCCAATGTCTGTGCACAGTTGGAGTCAAGAGGCATCTTGCAACAACTATGTTCAAAGAACTTGTTCAAAGCGAGTTCTCCCCCACCATGTTCTTATGTTCGTAGAACAGTCCTTACCAACTCTTACCCATTAGCAAGGAAATGTTCCTCATCCACCTCCCTTTAGTCCAGCAACTGCTACCTCCTTAACCCCACTGCTAACTGGCGAATTATGGTAAGCACTGCCTTGTCTACAAAGTCGAAATTGAGCCTGAACAAATGTTCACAAGACACATTTTCCATCTGTATATCTGCCAAGCTTCTCCCCCTACACTCTATAAACCATTTTCAATTCCAGAGGTCTGCACTTAAATGTATAGTTAGCCTGGATTTGATTATGCACGCCATCTGCTACCTGGTTATGATTATTGATAGGAAGGAAACTTGAGGTTAGGGCATGCTAAGTTTTTCATATAATGAGATGTTCCTGATTAGTGCTTTGGGGGGGGGCGTTTGGCATTAGTACCTTGTGAAAGAAGTACTACTTTTCATGCATTGCCCCTTATGGTCAGGTATGCTAACATTGGGAATGCCCCTCATCCCAGTCATCACCTCAAGACTTCACAACCAATTCCCTTTTTCTCTCCCCTTTTTAACTGTTTGTTTTAAACACAGACTGGGCTCATATCCACTATACAGCAATCCCCTAGAGACCTCATTACTTTCCTTTGGGGATGTGTGAATGTGTTTGTTTCTGCTCTTGCAAAATCCCAGAAGGTTTGGTCACCCACAGAGGTCTGTTCTCCTTCCTTATTTGATTTTTTTTAATGCCCTCACTCATGGCAAGAGTGCAATCTGCTTAACAGCCTTTCCATATTCAAGTGACACTGGGTTTAGAAATAAAGAAATTAAAGACCAGGCCTCAACTCTGGGAGGAGAAAGTACATACATAAAAGTATTATAATATCACAGGACAAGTAGAGACAAAGAGAAATAATAAGTGATGAAACAAGGGCTGCATGTGTGGATATCTCTTGATTTTTTGACTTGAGTTTCCACATATTGGTTATGAAAAAAATCCTTTACTCCACCAATGAAGTTTAACCCAGGCACAGGTAAACTTCACTGTAGCCCCAGACTTAGAGAATATGATATATGAGATTTGGAAGCAGGTGAGAAAGCTGTATAATATTCCATCCATGGGTCCCCTGCTGACTAATGTGCTTTATCAGTAGGAAAGTGGAAAATGAAATTGAAAAAACAACAGCTACTAGAAACATTTGGTAATGAATTTCCACTAATTTCACCTACATCTCTTTTACCCATCCTGTAGCTCAGTTCACAAGTCACTGAGCTGTCAAACAAGTGTTTAGGATGGGGAGCAATGACTGTTGCATCTTATTAAGCTGTACTAGAATCACAAGCCAACTAAGACACAGCAGTATCCCAACAGAATAGGTTATCACTTTCATAACTGGCAACACACAAGTAAAGCGATACCATACAAAGCTGCTGCATAGCACAGAATAAAGTAGAGAGGGGAGCAGCCCATCTTAAAGGCATTTTAGCCAACAAAGAATCAACTACTATCAGGGCAACCTAGGCCTTAATACTGCTGTACAATTTGGTCCCTGGGAGCACATTACACCTGTATTCCATAGCATACAATTCAGAGACTTCAAGGTGCTACACTTGACATATAAAGGCACCTGAGGAATCAAAGAGACAGTCTTTCTTCTATCCCATCACCAGCTCTGTAATAAACTAAGGATCACCCTCATTTCCTTTATGAGCAAACTGCATACAATAAGGTTTATCAGTGGTGGCTCCAAACTTATGAACTTGTCTCCCCCTATGGATGTGCTAAGGCTCAGCATGAGACTCTTCCAGAAGTGTTAAGGCCTGTTTTAATTAGGATTTGATTTGGATTTCATGCTTTTATTTTTAAAATAGTAACCCACTATCAGTCTTTGATATATAAAGTTAAATAAATGAAACAGTGTGAAGCACACAAACCATAAAATAGAGAAGTGCAAACTAGGATGCATTCCTAAGTTTGGGTTGTAGCTAAGTGGATGATTCCACCTACTACTTTAACATCAGTAACTGCTAGCTAAAAAGGTGTTGCATACCTCTGACAGGTACTACTACACTTGCTCAGTATGAGATTGCATGGCACTATTTTACTAAACACTTCCTTGATTCTCTGTGCCCCTTTCAAAGATAAATCACAGGATCACTATGAGCACATGCACAAATACTGCTTTAGAAATAGTTACTCTTTCAACTTTTTGAGAATGGCTCAAAAATCCCATCAGCTTGCTCTAAAGAACTTCAGAACTGGTCCCTGTTTTTAATGACTAAAAAAAGATATGTGCTAATTGCTTGCTCTGAAAGAAGAAAGCAGAAGCGAGCACACTTGCTTTGTCTTTACATATTTTAAAACTTATTCTATTGCCTTTAATTACATGCTATGGTATTTTTATTATTTCTGTTAGCTGCCTTGAGCAACATTTGATGGAAAGATGGGACATAACTTTGGTAAATAAATCAACATAACAGTATGCTTTTCAATAGCATCAAATCACACATTCACTTGTGAGTAATCGTGTGAAGATTATTCCAATGATGTGTAAGCATGTGCAAAGCAGCCTGAGCTCAGGGACACATTCAGATCAATACTATGACCCTGCTGCTTGCCTTTATAAAAAGTCTCCCTAACACTGTCTGCTTCCTTCCAGATCCTCCAGACCTATAAGTCACCACAGAACCATTACTATCCCTCTGCATATCCATTTGTCCAATTCTGGCACATGACTGCACAAGATCCAGGAACAAGAAACAGTGGAGAAGAATATGGTGTAAGCTTTTCACATCACTTGAGTTCACTGAAAAATTCTCAATAATGTTAAGGTTCACTACACTATAAAAAAAATAGTTCACACATGCATACATTAAAAATGGAGAGAGATGTGTATCTGATTCAGCTGAAGGTTGAAAAAGGTGCAAAGAAAAAGAGAGAGACCTACTCTTTCCCTGCAACTCAAACAATCAGGTATTACACTTCTCCCAAAAGCAGCCTAGCATGGTAAAGGCATCAGGGAAGAAAACTCCCAAATTAGTCACAGATTTATAGGCTGGTTAATATGCCTTCCTTTGCAATATAAAACTCTTTTCTACTCCAGAGCCCATAGCTTCCTCTCATCCTTTAGTACAATAAAACTGGATGCTAGTTTTGGGATTCATGCAACAGACATTTGGCAGAACTCAATTCCCAAAGGGACTCAGAGAAATGCTGCGAAGGCGTGGAGACTTCTTGCCAGCAGGCAAGCAGCGCAGCTACAAGACACCTCTACTCTGGGGATCTCTGGCTTTCCAAGACATCAGAGGAATGAAAGCTCAGGGGAGTCACCTGTCACTCCTGCCTGCCTGGGGGATTTCTCGCCATCGCTCTCGCTGCAGCTCCCACTCTGTGGCCGTTTCCGGGATGGCCGCTCACCCTCTACGCTGGAGGGGGAAAGCTGCCCACTCTGGCTGTGGTCCTCTCCATTCTCAAGGGGGCAGTCCAGACCTCTTTGCAGTTTCACCCCGTTCTTGGCTTTTTTAAAAAGGACAGATGTCCGCCTGCCCACTCCACTAAACGGGGGGCTGGCAGAAGTGCCCGTGGCCTGAAGGGCCAATCCGTTCAGGCCGTTGTCGCTGAGCAAGCGCTGGAAGGCGTGGCTCTCCCTCTGCAGTGTCTTCTTATCAAAGAGCTCGCCCTCGGACTTCAGCCGCTTATGTAGTCTGTTCAAGGACTTGCTTTCGCTAATGGGTTTGAGAGTTGGAGGGTCCTGCAGAGAGTCCAGCTCCGATAGGGGGGGTGCAGGTCCTGTGGGCTCCAGGGTGGGGGGAAGTGGGGGCTTGGTGTCATCTGCTAAAGAGAAAGAGAATCTGCTTGAACATTTTAGAAAGTATTTCCCAAAGTACGGATCACACCTTTCTGCCCCTTTCTATGCTTGAAAGTAAGTGGCAGGTAATAACTAACTTTTGTTGAATAGCCTAAAGAAAGACACTCAGAGGTGAAAAAAATAATAACTATGGCACTCTGCAGAAGAAAAAATATTCATCCTCTTAAGAGCCAGTCAACATGCTTGTCATTTAACCAACAATGTTATTTATGGTGACAGTTCTATGCATCGTTACAAGCGTGCAAATCCCACTGAATTTAACGGAATTTGCTTATAAGTTTACATGCTGAAGTTCAGGCTGCATGACGCTTAACTCCCCAACCTTCTTAACTCTTTTTTCCAGACCCTCATGCCTCAGGTATTTTAAACTCTACATAGCCATGTTTGACCTAAGAGGGTAAAGAGATATGGGAGAACTAGAAAACAACAAAGGAGGAGTTTCAAATGCAAAAAAAGTCTCTTAAGGACCTCGATCATGTTGCAAATAATGGAAAACAGTCAACTGTGTATTCTTTTCCTTTTAAACTACGTCATTGTCCCATGTACTAAGGTCACCAAAAACACCCAGAGATCATTAAACTACCAAATCCAAGCTCAGCTTTCTCTCCAGGGAACCTTCCTTCCTCTTGAATTCCAATTCATGATGCAATGAGGTCACAGATTAGCACTCATTCTTCCCCCTTTTAAGGTTCTGTTCCTGTTCAAGCACTATTTGCTATCTGTGCAATGTTCTGGTTGTCAGCAGGGGAAAACAAGTTATTCCCTCGACTAGCTAAACTGCATGGATTGCCAGCGTTGTGGGAAAGCATGGCTGCTAAGATGACTACAACCCCTTAAGAAGGAATGTCACCATTCAGGAATTTCGTAAAAACCTTATAAAGAGAGCACAGAGCATCTCTGAATTCAAAGTATATTAAGAAGCCTTTTGTCCTATTTAGCGCAGTTCAAAATCAGAGACTGGTACGCTTATAAACTAAAGATTATTGTAGATTTAACCAAACAATAAACATGAGGTAATTTGTTCATACTGAAGCTCTTCCCTAAACATCAATTGGGAATACTGATATTCTTTTAAGTTTTTTGGCGACTAGTTAAGAATACTTTAATCCCCCACCAAGAGACAGCAGACCATTGGTGTACCCTTATTTGTGTGTCGTCGGGAGAGGGGGTGTCTTAAGGAAAAGGAAAACAACTTTTCAAAACGTCCCTTTAAATATTCCTGAAAGCAATCCAGAAGAGAAATTAAGATTTCTGAGATCCATTCAGCAAAAGTCAAAACAGATTCTCATCTGCTGCAACCATGACAAAAGATGTGATAGCCTAGGAAAAGCCAGAAACTTTTTCAAGGGTGAATCCCTCCCAATCATTCCCACCCCCCAAAAAAGCTTTTTGTTTTGTTCAAAAAAATAGATTATGTTTGAATGACAAATACAGTGTTTAAGATAAAGTGCTCATATATTTACTCCCCACAAATGATTTCTAAAAATTATGTAATGGGAAGACTTTTATGTTAAGACTATGAGCAGTATCAGATGATTACAATTCCTGTACACTGAGGACAATCAAGTCCTGAGTTGTAAACTGAGACTTCAACTCTCAAATGCAGGAGCAAGATGCATTTCTGCCTCAGGGGGCGCTGCTATTGTCACAAGAGAAGGAAGATGATTTCAGTGCCTCATTTGCTTGTGAAAGGGTAGAGATGTTTGTTTCAATACAGGCAAACCTTCAGATTTTAGAAGTTCATTATAAGTATGGTGATGACAAATATGAAGAAGCAGAAGATGCAGGAACGGAAATTCATAGCAATAGCTCAGAAAATGAGACATTAAATTTCACTATGGAGAACTGGAGGAGACATAATATTGTTCTTTGTTTCACAAATATTAATTGTTTCTTCTTCTTTTTATTATTATCATTTGCCTGTTCCTCATAAACTGGCAAAACTAAAGAGATTCCTTACTGCTCAGCAGCTTGTACTTTCATTTGTAACTTAAAAAAAAACAACAAAAAAGTAAAAAGTAAATTTAAATTGTAATTAAACTGAAAAGGTGATCTCTTTCTCATCTCTGTGTATGTATATATATAAAACAGAATTATTTTTTCCCAAAAGTTCTGGTTTTTTCCTGGGAAAAATGGAAAAAACATATTCACACACACACCATGGCTTCAGACTTTCTGGAAATGCTATGTCTCTAACCATGACCTTACCTTTAACTGGCCCATATAGCTCTCATGGACCAGCCACTTAGGACTTGGTGTTAGTCAACAAATTTTGGATTTCACAGTTATTGACTCTTTTTAGAGAGCTTTAAAAGCACCAAACAGTGAGGTGTGTAACGTAAGTTTTAAAATCTCAATCTGCATTTTGAAAAACTAGTGTTTAACTCCATTTTTACAGCGGGTGGAGGGTAAGGAATTTAATATACTTTTAGCGACCTATGTACCAAAATGTCACAAATGAAGTCCAATGAAAGGACCTGTGTATGTGTGTGTGTTCATGTGTGTACATGTGTGTATATCTATATATACACAACAGTTCACAGACTTTCAGAAGCAGCAGAGAGAGGGGAAATTACTATTTGTTCCCCCTTAACAGCCTTCCCCATTTCCTGGATGCTCAAACAAGGCTGGCTCCTCTTTCCTCCTTCCTCCCAGCATGACACAGGCTGAGTAGCTAGAGTAGTACCTAAAACATATCTATCCAATCAACAATAGACAGGGCTACTGACACCCACAGGTGGAGGACTATGCTGCTCCAGTAATTCTAACAAAATGTTGTGAACTGCCCTGTGATCTTCGGATGATGGGTGGTATACAAAGGTAATGACTGAAGTTGCACTTTTGCAAGGATTTGGTTGATTTCAGAATGGATGTGTAACCGTACAGAAGGGCTGAGGAAACTCATGCCCCTACAGACCACTCTGTTTGGCACTTCAAACTCTCCCTAGGCCACACCCCTCATGGGCCCTACTTCACACTCCATGTGTTTTTGCCTGTCTTTGAACTTTCCAGCCATGTGGCACCAGCACCCACTATTCTTTCTGAATTTGCATTTGTCAAAGATTTGACTGATGTCAAAAGCTGTGCAAACTGAGTGAGGCTTGCTGCTCTGTGGCTGCATGTAAAGCTCTGCAAACATGCAGGAGTTGAGAAAAGAGTTTTCCGTAACAATTCAGCATGGCTGCAGCTTTGAAACAGTATAGGGGAGAACAGAAGTGCTTGTTAACAGAGGCACATTTTCTGAGAATACGATGGCAGGACCATGCTAACACTGTTTTTATCAGTAACAATTAATGGCATTAAACTGATGTCAGCTGACTATTTTGAGCCTCTTAGAAGGCCAGGCAAGGCAACGTTGAACTGCTTTTCCCTGCCAGGGGAACTGACCCACCCTACAGCAAAGGCCAACCCTGACTGCTTCTATGGTTATTTTTTTGTATATACTACAGCTTCCATCTTTACTGTCTTCTAATTTTGTTTTTAAGGGAAAGTTGGACAGCTAACCTTCTAACTAAATGATGCTTTTTAAGAAAAAATAGAAAGGAATAGAGCCACTTACTCAAAAGCAAACTAGGATCATGGTTGGCTGCAGCCACTTGGGCACTATTCTGTAGTCTCTGCTATCTTTGATTCACAGATGACCATGGGTGGGATCACAACCCAAGGTTCCTTGCCCAAGTTTGTCCACTGTCCTTTAGATCAATCTATGTCACAGCTCCTTCCTGCTATTTCATTCACAGCCCATTGTTGCAACTATGTATCTACAGGTGACAGACACATGTAGGACATGAGACTGACAGTCTTCTCAGTCTTTTAACCTCTTCCTGATGAGCCTGCCAAGGAGGTAAATTAGCACTTCCAAGTGTAGGTGTCTTTGTGATGCAGACCTCTAGAAACTGGGATAAGATTGTCAAACACATTTCTCTAAGGCTGCCTTATCACCATAAAGCTTTGAGACTGGCAACCCTTGTTACCATCAACTGTTGCTTCCTCAGCCCCAAAACTCTCCAGCATTTGTTACAAAAATGTACAGGTTTACCAAATGCTATATTGAGGCTGTTCTTGATGCTCTCCATTTCTCAAGATGATTTTTGAGTTTGTTGTTAAAGGCAGTAATTACATAGTGACTTCTGCCTACCAGACTTGTGAAGAATTAATGTGTACAGATCCCCTTGAGTCTTCACATTTACATAGCTCTTTCCAGTAAACCAGAACTGCTTCCTTCAGAGACCTTGTGAAAAAAACTCACCTTTCTCCCCATCTTCATCACGTTCTCCTTGTAGCATCTTTTCCAGCCCTTCCTCCCATGGAGCTGGATCTCCATTTGGCAGGGTTTTACTCTGTTGCTGGGCCAGCTTTTGCCGGATAGAGTTGATTTCGCGTCTCAAGAGTCGGATGCGGCGAGTTCGGGCGCCACTTGACCTCATGGTGCTCACCATATCCAGCTTTTCCAGTAGCTCCTTCAGCTGTACCTCCAATGAAAGGTGAGCCCGGTTCTCAGGGAGGAGAAGGTTATCAACTGCAATGAGAAGCAAGAATGTGACTAACCCACCATTTAGGTCTCACATTGACTATCATCTTCATTATACAGCTTGTGGCACCTCTTCACTCTCACTTTTGACATCTGAGATGGTTATTTTTAGAACATACCTTATTTCTGTAATTTTAAGTTGTTTTGAACTGTTCTGAATATCATGTTTTAATTGTTGTAACTCATCCTACAACTTTTGAGCGAAGGGCAGGCAATTAATAAACCTGTTTTTGAACTTCATATAATAAACAGGACATAAGGATTCTTCAAATGAAATGTCAATAATATGTAGGAAAAACACACCACAGAGCCAATGAGAAAGAGAGAGAGATCACATGCTCCGCAGCACACATAGGCAACCTGTGGCCGTGGAACACATGTACCCCTCACGTACCCCTCACTGTTGTCCTGTATGGCCCACTCCTCCAGTTGTCCCCCATGGTGACTATTCCCACAAACAGCATTGGCCTCAAATTTACTGCAGACATCTCCTGCCCACTATTTTCTGCTTCCTGGTAGACAAATATAGAAAGTGCAGGGTACAGCACCAAGTTGGCATCTATGATCATCTGGCCAGGAAGCAGAGGGTAGGTCAGTACTGAACCCAGCACGGCAATGAAAGAACAAATGCAAGGGAAGACAGGACTTATTGTAGGAGATACTGCCTCCAGAGCAGTTTCTTAAATGATTGTCTTTCTTTGCACATATGGAGGTTTTTAATCTTCTTTCTCCTTAATGGTCTTTTATTTTTAAATACAAAAATTCCTAATGGAAACTCACCATCCTCCCAAGAAAAACGATAAAAATCTTCTGTCTTTGGCGATTCAGGCAAGTGAATCCCCACTTGGGGATCATAGCCAATAGTCTCAGCTTGCCGCCGTGCATGGCGCAATATTGCCCCTCCGAGGTCTCTCAGCCGGACAGCCGCTCGATGGAAAATGGTGTCTTTAGAATTATACCTCATGCAGTTGGTAAGAATAAGGTTAAAGTCCTCCTCAAACTCATCCAGTGTCCGGTACTGGTGGGACTCCAGCTTCCGCCTCATGGTAGAAAAATCCATTGGCTTGGAAATGAATTCCAGGTAATCTGGAACCTAAACATATAAAACCTGTACAATTACAAAAATCATTTACTAGCCAACCAGGGCATATCCATCACAAGCACTCTAAATGCCCTCTCACTGGCACTGGGGCAGTGCACAAATGCACAGTGATTTCATCCAGTTAAGTCCTATCCCATTCAGCCCCAGCAAATAAATAACCCTGCTGAGAAGCAAAAGCAAACTCCCTCAGAAAAAGTGCTCTAGTCTACCTGGTTGGGGAATCCTCTGTATAAGAACCTTTGAGGAAGTCCTTAATTTATACAAGAACAGAGCAAGTATGCCTTGAACAGTCCAGACTGGTCTTGCTTTTTGAGAGTTACATTTTGCAGGCATTCAAATGAGCAGTTCTTTAGGTCAAATCTAACTACACTTCTAGGTAAAGTACTTGCCTCACTCAGCTTTACAGGTTCTGCAAAGATCTGGGCTGGATCCTTTTCCTGTAGAAGATCCAGTGTTGTCCGCAGCAGCACGTTGAAAGGTGTGAGCTGCAACTCCATAGCAGCTTGCTGAACCTTTACCTGAAAATCACAGAATCAGAGTTGGAACGGATCCCAAGGGTCATCTAGTTCAACTAGATGCGAGTATGGCGGGGTGCCCGTGACGGAGCCTCAAGAACATCTTATAGGGTTTTTATGAAAACCTACGAGATGGCAGTGAAGGCCGCTAAGAAGTCCTACTTCTCGGCCTCCATTGCCTCCGCTAGCTCTCGCCCGGCGCAATTATTTAGTATAATTAGGTCTTTAACGTCCCTTGAAGGACAGCCAAATTTAAATAACAATTTGACACACAGCTTTGAGGCATTTGCGAGTTTTTTTGCGGAGAAGGTCCTGTTGCTCTGCCATGACCTCCCTGCCAATTTGGATAAAGGAACTGGAGGCCCCTCGACTGTCCTCGGGTCCAGTATTGGACCACTTTGACTGGATATCCCCAGCCGATGTGGACAGACTCCTCCGAGCTGGAAAGCCCACCACCTGTCCTCTTGACCCGTGCCTGTCTTGGCTGATTAGAGCGTGTCCAGACGAGGTGCGGCCCCCCCCCGGGTGATATCATCAATTTGTCCCTTGGCACCGGGATATTCCCAGGGGAACTGAAGGAGGCAGTGGTGCACCTGCTCTTAAAGAAAACATCATTAGATCCCTTAGATCTATCCAATTACCAGCCGGTTTCGAATCTTCCATTCCTGGGTAAGGTGATTGAGAGAGTGGTTGCTGAACAGCTTGGTAGGTTTCTGGATGAAACATCAGCTCTCGATCCATTCCAGTCCAGCTTCCGCGCTGGTCATGGGACCGAGACGGCTCTGGTTGCCCTAACAGATGATCTCCGCAGGCAGCTGGATCGAGGCAGGTCGGGGCTGCTGATTCTTCTAGACCTGTCAGCAGCCTTCGACATGGTCGATCACGAACTCCTGGACCACCGCCTTGCCGACGTGGGGATCCAGGGCACAGTCCTTCAATGGCTGCGCTCGTTTCTCTCTGGTCGGGGACAGAGGGTGGCGCTTGGGGTGGAATTGTCATCGTGCCACTCCTTGGTGTGTGGAGTGCCTCAGGGTGCGATTCTCTCCCTGATGCCTTTTAACATCTTTATGCGCCCCCTCGCCCAGCTTGTCCGGAGGTTTGGGCTGGGTTGCCATCAGTATGCCGATGACACCCAACTCTATCTGTTGATGGATGGCCATCCTAACTCAGCCGCAGACACACTGACCAGATGTCTGGAAGCTGTGGCTGGATGGTTACGTGGGAGCCGGTTGAAGTTAAATCCCTCGAAGATAGAGGTCCTCTGGCTGGGACGGGGCAATATGGGATTGAGGGGGCAACTCCCATCTCTTGTGGGGGTGCAATTAGTGCCAGCATCGTCCGTTAAGAGATCTTATTCATCCGGTACTATACCAGCTGCACTGGCTCCCGGTGGAGTACAGGATCAGGTTTAAGGTGCTGGTTTTAACCTTTAAAGCCCTATACAGCCTAGGACCCTCGTACCTACGGGACCGCCTCTCCTGGTATGTCCCACAGAGAAATTTACGGTCTGCAAATAAAAACATCCTGAAGATCCCAGGCCACAGAGAGGTTAGGCTGGCCTCAACTAGAGCCAGGGCTTTCTCAGCCGCAGCTCCAATCTGGTGGAACGCTCTGTCACAAGAGACTAGGGCCCTGCAGGACCTGACATCTTTCCGCAGGGCCTGCAAGACAGAGCTGTTCCACCAGGCCTTTGGTCAGGGCGCAGCCTGACCCCCTCCTCTGGCAATCTGCACAGAATTTTGCTTAATGGTTGCCATCAATTTGATTTTAATTAATTTTATAATGAATGTTTTTAGAATGTTGGATTATTTTGATTGTTGCTAGCCGCCCTGAGCCCAGCTTCGGCTGGGGAGGGCGGGATATAAATAAAAATTTATTATTATTATTATTAACTGCGGGCAATGCAGGAATGACAGCTAAAAGCAGCACACCTCAGAGATACTAATGATAGAAAATAGCATTTCCTGTAGGCAAACCTTGTAAACTGCAGAAACTATAAATGCTGGTTTTGATAAAACCAACTAACTAGAGGCTAAAAGGATAACAGGATATACAACAAGCAGGGCTGGCCCTACCATTAGGCAAAACTAGACAGATGATTTTGAACGTCATGAACAACAAATAAGTGTGTTATTGAATCTATTACTTCTAGTGGCAAATGTCTCAATAACAATAACATGGGCCAGATAAACTACAAGTTATATATATATATATATATATATATATATATATATATATATATATATTCTTTTAATGATCCAGCCGTATTTATTCATGTGTTTTTAAAATGGTTATGAAATGAAGAAAACTGACCCGATCTATATAGGAATGCAGTTTAATTGTAGCATTTGCAGTTGAGATGGCTAACTTGAGGCCAACAGGCCAGATATGGCCCACCAAGCCATAGAAAACTGCCCACGTCTGGTCAGGAGATAAATATCCCTGTCTGTTCTTTACACAGTAATCTCTAAAGTGGAGATAAATGTGATATCTACTCATCAGAATATAAAATCCCTTTGACTGCTTTTTAGAGACCTCTTCTAAAGAGATCTTCTCTAAAGAGCAAGCAAAGGGATCTTTCTTCTCTGATCTCAACACTAAGTACTTTAGCTCTGTGATCTTAGATACAGATATGGAGATAAAGTTTAATCTGGCAGTCAGAGAAATATTTGAGCTCCAATCGCAGTGCTAAGCACCACAGCACTGAAATCAGAGAAAGTTGTCTTCCAGCTCTTTAATACTAAGAGATAGCATTTCCCCCTCAACTTCACTCCAGCACTAGGGGGAAAGGGGGCAGGGAAAAGCTGCCATTTAATTTTAAAGTGCCAGTGAATGTGTTTGTGTGTGTGTATGTGTGTATGTGTGTATGCACATGTGTGCATACACACACACACAGTTTGTCCAATAAGAGATAGGATCTGACTCATTTCAGAATCTTTTTTTGGCTGTAATCCTGTGCACACGTATTTTGGTGTAAGGCCCACTGAATGCAATGCAGCTTGATTCTGAATAAGCATGCTTAGGATTGCATGGGTGTTTTGTTTTTTGTTTTGTTTTAACACTAAAATGGCAATCACTCCACATCCAGGCCACCTTAGCAGCTCTAATCAAAGGCATTAAATAATGTCCATCTCATTGGGAGTGTAAACAGCTGTACAGATCATCAGGTCATGCTCATACCAACCTGCTCACGTTTGAGTTTTTCACGCTTACGAATTAATTCAATGAGCAGCCGTGCCCTTTCCAAGTCATGCCGCAGTTTTTGCCAGTACTTCAGTTCCTCCTTCACTGCACCAGTCTTCTCATCATGCTCTTTCTGTAAAATGGGAGATTTTTCTTTCTTTCTTTTTTAATGGTACCTGATCTCTCTTCATATCTCTCCTGATTCACCAATCTCTTCATATTTACAGTTATTCACAGTCAGCCTTTAACTAGATCATAGAATCTAAGCACCTTATGAGTCCTAAGCATAGACTGACTATCTAAAGAAGTCCAACCAACGTTCTGAGTATGTTCTGGAAATGTTTTAACCATACCCATTGACATTCTTTAACTTCTCAAATATGTGTTGCTACTTCATACCTGTGGTATAACCGAGAGCGAGGCTCCATTGTTTTTGGCCTTTTGACAAAGGATTGCACTGTGTCATCAGTGGCACAGGAGGCACAGAATGGCAGTGACACCCTCCTGGTGGTGGCAGCACTGTGCTCACCAGGACTGTGTTCACCAGGACTCATGGGGTGGAGAGCTACAGGTTGATGGCAGAAGCATGTCTCTGGTGCAGACACATATACACAACAATGATGACGCCAACAGAGTGCTCCCTCGACCTTGCCCCCACCCCATCTTTGTCCTAGTGAACACAGTGGCACCACCACCAGGAGGGCATCACTGCTGCTCTCCCCTCCCCCCCCCCCAACTCGCACACTGCTGCAGCTCTCTAGCAAAGTCACTCAAAAAAAGTTATGGGGCACAGCAAATGTCAAGTACCAATTCTGTGTAAAGAAAATAGTAAAGTGTATGCCTAGCTCAAAAGGACTAGACCACACACAGTAAATCAGTGGGTACAGTCTTTGGCCCTGACAACTAAGGAAAAGTGGTCTCCACAGTGCTGATTGTTTCTAAGGTAAAGACAGATGTAGATGGTTATCAATGGATTTTATCCACATGGTTTTTCTTTCCTGTGTAAAACACTACAAGATAAAAACAATGGGATGTGGTTTCAAAGGAAGGAACTGTTAAGAGAATTTTCAGGAGCGAGGCATAGATCATGGGTGGCTTGGCTTTACGCTGTGGCATAATACAAAAATTGCATGCTGCAAAACCTCTATTACAATCACAATAGTTATTATTCATGGACAACACTACTAAAGGAAGATTTTGAAGTTCCATTTCTATACTTCATAAGAAATTCCCAAAATGAACTACCCTCCTGCTTTTTTTAGCTAGCAGTAGCTACTCCATCCAAGGACATTTTCCATCCATGTATCCCAGAAGCTTCCCTAATTAGTTCTTGTAACACTATTCTCTCATGGTATTTCAGGGTTCAGTAAAATGTCAATGATGCCACAATCATACCTGTTCTGCATTTCTTTGGGACTGTAGATGAGAGTGCAGACGCCGTATAAGAGGAACACCGTTTCTTGACTGACGCTTTAAAAGCCAGTAGTTGTGCAGTCGCTGCATAAACTGATTCTTTCTCTGGAAGGCGAGACCACTGCAGATTTTATTCAGTCTAGGGAAAACAAAAGCATCAAGCGATTTCGTCACATATTAAACCCAACTTCAGATTCCGGAAGACCGGTGTAACACATGGAAACCCTCACTTTAGCAAAACAGTGCCTAATTTTCTAACATCACATTACATGTTAGGAATTATATAAGTAACTCAAGTTCATCAGAGGCTTTTCAACTGTGAAATTGCTGCTCTGTAAGAAACAGCTCTACAGCTCCAATTAAGCAATAGCAACAGCAAAATGGGCAACACCCAGCCATCAGCTTAGCTCAAATGGACCAAATTAATTCAGAGGTTTAGCACAAGTGATTACTCCAGTCACTTTCATATAATCACTTAAACGCATTACTAATATAAACACTAGGCAACAAACACAACTGTAGATAGATCCCGCTCCAAGTTAAACTGTCACAATCCCATTGAAGTCAATGGGATAAGCCTAAACTCGGACCATAAATTGCAAATTTTCTTCGTTTTCCACCTTCAACAATTTGTGCCTGCACTTCATTTCCTAACGTAATTAAACAAAGCATTTGCTGAAACAGCCGCAGGGCATAAAAGATGCCACCCAATTGGAAAACAGGAGAAAAACGCTGGGCTAGTTCACTGATCAACATGGAAACAAAAGCCAGAATGGTTTCACCACTCACCGGTATGAAGGGATCTGTGCAACCATCAGCAAAGGGGCAGAAGAACAGGCTTCCTTCTTTACCTTCTGCTTCAATTTCACTTTGTTCTTGCTCTTGGGAGTGCCCCCATCTACTGTCTCGTTCCTTGAAACATCCTCCTCTCCCTTGTGAACAGTAGTTGTGCGCCCCTTCTTCACTGTGCCAGGAGGGGAATGTGCCTCGCAATAAGCAGTCTTGCGCACAGTAAACGTTGTGCCATTGAGGCTGGTCTCCCTCATGGGCTCAATCTTCATGAAAAGACCAGCCCTCTGGGCACAGGTGACATGGAAGGCTGTGTAGCAGTTCACCTTGTGACACTGGATGGCTGCTCCCATGCCCTTCTGCTTGCAGATGTAGCAAGTGAGCTTCCAGCGAGCTGGTGGGATATTTTCTATCCCCTCAATGGGCTCCAGAAACACAGTGTTTGCAAAACAGACTTCTGGGATCCAGATGGCACAAACAACATGAGCCCAGTGACCATCACTGGTCTGCTTGAAGGCTCCACCCTTGTTTGGACACAAAACACAATCAACTGGGCGGGAAGGGGACTGTAGGCAGCAGCGACAAAGCCATTGCCCCTCAGGGATGTAGGGCACTCCATAGCATTCTTGGTGCACAGCCAAGTTACAAATGTCACAAAACAAAATGACGTTGCTGTTATGGCATTCATCATCCATGCAAACACAGCAAACGGCATCTTCATCTATTAGAGTCTGCTGGGCCCCATTGTTGCGGCTCTCCAGGTATGACTCCTTCTCCAACCGATCTACTAGCAACTCAAAAGTCTCAGCAGAAACTGACCCATAGCCATCGTTCTTCCTTTTCTCATTGATCATGTCAAGCCACGCCAAATCTTCCTCATCCATATCATACTCCACTTCAGCATCAACATCCTCAGGTGGCTTCTCAATGTACTGATAGTATGCGGAAGGCAGGGCTGGAGCATCTGGTTGGCTCAAGGAATCAATCATCCGAAAGCTGGGCTGTGGTAGGTGGAATGATGTCCCAGGAGCGTGTTTTGTGCATGTTTCCCTTTTTTTGCCTTTACACTGAGTTTTCTTTGATTTTGAAGGAAACAGTGGCTGCTCACTGTTTTCTTTGTTACTGTTGCATTCCGTGATGTCCTGGGCAGTCAGCTCATCCTCTGTGATGATCTTTAGAGGATCATAAATGCTGATGCGATGGAGACGCCCATCAATATCAACTTCGACTATCCGCTGGGCCTGGGCATAGGTCAGAGTCTCTCGCGTGGGTGAGCATTTCAAGCTGTATGGTGAAGGAGAACGTCTCCCTTCTAGGGTCTGTCGGGACCTCCTCCGAGGTTTCCTCATAGCAGCAACTCAAAAAACCCTGCAGAACGGTCCAAAAGAAAAATAGCATAAACATGAGCAGCATAAATTTCAGGGCAACAAGGTCTAACTTCAACTGATTAATTGGTTAAAGTTAATTTTAACTAAGAGGGCTGAGAAATAAGAGCATACCTATTTATTTGGCAACTACTTTGTTTGTGGGAATAAAAAAAGGAAGAAAATGAAGCCTTTTAACAATGAGTGGTAGACAGATTTGGCTTATCTCACACTTCAGTTTCTCAAAAAGGCACCTATCCTGAGGTAACTTAGGTAATGTTCATTCTGAAAAGTATTTAAACTGAATTGACTGCTCTGTTAAAAACAAAATTTAACCAAGTACAAATTCTTTAAGAAACAGTTAGCCCTAAACATTAGGCTACCCTGAATATGAATCCTTAGATTCTTTTCTTCTTTCTACTAAAGTGTCTTATAATGTTTTAGCATTATAGGAGTCATTCACAGAAGCAACAAGACAAAGATATCATAAGCAAGCAGCTAGGAAGGCTAGACACAGAAAACTTGTAGAAGAGAACCTGGAAGCAAAGAAAATCCAATAATAAACAAGGAGGTTGAAAATGAAGAAATGGATCAAAAGAAGAATTTAATTTGGAAACACAAACACAAACCCAAGCAAAGAAGTAAAATAAAGGAGCTAAATATCAGCCTGTCTCTTCTAATGAACTAAGATTCTGAAACACAGAATGCAAAGCAGCACATGAATGCAAACTAAAAAGATAAATTTGGGCTGGGGCCTTATCTCTTAGTGCACTTTTGGGTGTGTGAAACTTTAAATTAGTGGATACCTAATTTGCTGTAAGCCATCTGCACTTTACATTTAAAGCTGCATTATACCACTTTAAACAGGCATGGTTTCCCTCTGAGAATTCTGGGAAGTGAAGCATGTTAAGGGTGCTGAGAGGTGTTAGGAGAGCCCTATTCCCCTCACAGAGCTACAATTCCCAGAGTGGTTTAACCAGCGGCCCCTCTCCCCGGGAAACACTGGCAACTGCAGCTCTAGAGAGGGAAATCGGTCACTGCATAATGTTAACCTAAAATGGAATCAAAAGTGTCACATCATGGAGGGAGGGGGCACATGACTGTGAGATACTAAGTGTGTACAAACCAACCATTGCTTTGGAATTGCACTCTTGAACAGAATTTAACTTACAGTTGAGGGAAATGTTTGAAAAGGCAAACATGTATTATGTGTGCAAATACGAAAGACAAAACCTTTTGCCCTCCCATCACCCAATTTTCTTTTTGGCGTGATTCTTTTAAACCCCCCCCCCCAACCCAATAACTACAGTGGTGCCCCGCAAGACAAATGCCTCGCAAGACGAAAAACCCGCTAGACGAAAGAGTTTTCCGTTTTTTGAGTTGTTCCGCAAGACGAATTTCCCTATGGGCTTGCTTCGCAAGACGCAACGTCTTGCGAGTTCTTGCGAATTTGTTTCCTTTTTCTTAAAGCCGCTAAGCCGTTAATAGCCGCTAAGCCGTTAATAGCCGCTAAGCCGCTAATAGCCGTGCTTCGCAAGACGAAAAAACCGCAAGACGAAGAGACTCGCGGAACGGATTAATTTCGTCTTGCGAGGCACCACTGTATTATAATGCATGCCTTCAATGGTCAACTTTCTCTATATTTCCTACATTTGCATATTCTTCTTAAACTGTGACAATGTTTTACATTTATTCCTATTGTGTCATTATTTTTGAAACATTCAATAAAAAAGCATTTAAAGAAAGGAGAAAAAGCCAGGCCCTTTCTCCTAGGCCCTCTGTGTAACTGTATGCCAGGAATAAATTTAACAAATGGCAGTTTTCCAAACATGGAAATGCAACAATTGAAATCCATACCTATTGTATAGGTCTTAGTGGCATAGAACAAAGTAACAATACTTGAGTTAAGATAAACATGTATTCTTAAAGACATAATTGAGAATCTACAATTCCCCTTTGGTTACAAAATATGAGCCTTCAGACTGCATCTGCTACATTTTTTCCAAAGGCTATCATTTGAGAAGGATGAGAATTCTAAAACTACTTGTTCTGGAGATGATGTAACTTAAGTCAGAGAGGCTACTTCATGGATGAAGCAACTTTAAAACTACCGTATTTTTCGCCCTATAGGACGCACTTTTTCCCCCTCCAAAAATGAAGGGGAAATGTGTGTGCATCCTATGGGGCGAATGCAGGCTTCAGAAAGCTCTGCACAACCCTTGGGAGACTGGCTCGAAGACGCGCGGGCTCCGAAGGGTTGCGCAGAGCTGCCTGCGCTCCCGGGGGTCGCTCAGCTCTGCGCGACCCTATGGAGTCCGGCGCCAAGCCGCGCCGGTCTCCGAAGGGTCGCGCAGAGCTGCCTGCGCTCCCGGGGGTCGCTCAGCTCTGCGCGACCCTACGGAGCCCGGCGCGAAGCCGCGCCAGGCTCCGAAAGGTCACGCAGAGCTGCCTGCGCTCCCGGGCGTTGCTCAGCTCTGCGCGACCCTACGGAGCCCGGCGCCAAGCCGCGCCGGGCTCCAAAGGGTTGTGCAGAGCTGCCTGCATTCCGAAGCCTGGGGCGCACTGAAGAGCGCGCCCGGGCTTCACGCAGCTCTCCGCAAGCCTGGGGAGACAGCGCGGCTCCCTAGGCTTGCAGATAGCAGGCTGTTCTGGGGGCTGGGGTCGGGGGAAGCTCAGGCTTCCCCCGCGCCAGCCCCGCGCCTGGGGGGGAAATAAATTTTTTTTCTTTATTTCCCCCCCATAAAAACTAGGTGCGTCCTATGGGGCGAAAAATACGGTACTTTTTTTTTAAAACCTGGGGAAGAGAGAGACTGTTGCGCTTCCTGCTCAGTTTCTGTTTGCATTGTTTTGTCCTTTCCTCAATGAATAAGCACCCTTAATCATGCCCAGATTTCATTGGATGCAAGGAAGGGATATTGTCCATGTCTTCTGTTCTGAACAGAGAAAAGATACAAAGAGGTTATCTCTGTAACTACAGAGATAACCTCTGTGGCTGATGTAGGTGGACTTTTCCATTGATGGGGGGCCAATGGTAGCCACGCCAATACCATTTCGTGGTCCTGTGTCTTCCGCTCCTTTAAATGTGGCAGCTACTTTTTGTTAAGCTATGCCTCACAACAGTCACTTATTGTTATATCCCACCCAAGGCAGCCATTTATTGACTAGTGCATTGCACTTTCTCAAAACTCCCAATGCCTCCACTGGTCCCTGAATGTTGGTGACCTGTGGAATAAGTGGTAGTGACTTGCTTAGGGCTACCCAGTAAGCTTCATAGCTGAGCATATACTGTATTTGAATATTGGAGTCTTATGTTCGAGCCTAATACTTTTAAACACAGAGCAATGCTACATTAGCGGGAGAAATAATGCTACATATATCGTCTTTTGAAAATGCTAATGAGAATGAATCAGTTCATGTAGAAAGAGAAAGAAGTTCTCGGTGTTTGACTCTGATAGTTTACGGACAGGTGGCTAGAAAAATAACTTTTAAATAAACAAACATATAGAAGAACATTGAAACAAATTATAATAGTCAATGTGGCTACTCCACAAACTGCCTCTAGCCCACTGGTTCAGTTGTGTAGTGTACACATGGCCTGCACTGCTCTATAGAAATAAAAATATAAACATTTATTATATAAATATAAAATAAAAATAATTATTATATAAATATAAAGTAGTGTGCAATCAAAGCTCCTTGTGGTTGTTATGTGGGCTGTTTTGCTCTGTTGTTATGGTATATGTATTTATGTTTTAAATGTATTGTAAGTTGCTTGAAGATCTTCAGGTAACAAGTGATCAACAAGTTAATAATAGTCATGATATTATTATTATTATTATTATTATTATTATCATGTCAGTAGATTTTTTCATACTGCGCAGAACCAATTTTAGATTGAAAAAGTGCATTAGCACATGAAAAGGGGGAGATGGAATATATGTATCAGTCAACATCATGATGTATTAATATTGACTAATGCATGTATTCCATCTTCCCTTTTAAAGAAATGTGTTTTGAGAAATCAGTATTTTCTCCAGGGGATGGAGCAAGCATTCCATTTATATGGGATGGAGGGATGTGAAGGACTCTGAGCATTGTTTTTTGAGCAGGGAAGGCCAATGATAGTTTCCTGGAGAAAGTTTCCTTAAAAGAATCAAGTCTATGTGGAGTTTTTTGAGGGACAATAGGAAGGGAAAGAGAGTGGGAAGGGAGGAAATGGGGATGAGGAATCTGTGAAAGGAAAATAAGGTCCCAGTCCATGTTCCTTTTCAGGGCTGCTTTCACCCTAGAGCCCTTAGGTGCACAGTTTCCTCTAATTAGCTGGAAAAGGAATTAAAGCAGAATGTCCATACAGAGCTTGCATATAGCACTATATTACCAAGCAATGGCCTTCCCCATAACCAAATTCTCCTATGTTCCATCACAATTAAGTTCTATTTAAAACAAAGGTCCCTGACAACTTCAGTTCAAAGTTTATTGCTTGTTGTTTCTGCTAGTTTTATTGCTTCCTGTTGATCCCAGCTGGGAAACAAGTTATAAAGGGCCTGCTAATTGCCCCTTAAATAGCTTGCTTTAATTGCCCCTTTTTGTGAAACATTTCATTTCTCAGTGCCTCCTATCTGCAAAGCACCCCCCTGTGTGTTCAGAGTGGACTTTGCCTTTCAAAGTAACATTTACAGAAATACACATAAGCAGAAGTGGGACTGCAGCGAGCTAGAATGGGAGGGGGGAATCATTCATCTCACCATGGTCAAGATAAAAATTTCCACCCACAAAGCGCTATTAGCCTCAGGGGGACATTTCCCTATTAGGGCTAACAGTACATTTGTGGGTGATTTTAATCAGGACCATAAAAATGGAGGGAGGAGGGGATAACTAAACTCTTCTTCTCCAGTTGACATGTTCCCAATCCTGCTCAGGGCCCCCTGAAACTATTACTTTGAAAGGCAAAACTAGACACATTAAATCAATTAATGGCATAGCAGAGACATAGTCCCATAGTGCATCCCTTATCATCTGAGTTACACTCTCCTTCCCAGGGATTTATATACTGTTTCTATACAACTGTGATTAGGTACAAAGTTTGTTTGAATACTATGCTCCACCGTGGCAGAGGAGACAGGGTGGGTAGCCAATGATTTGGGGTTCAATTAGTGTTTTTTACTTACACCACTTCAGACATCAGTGTAACATTAGAACAGTGTGTTGGAGTTAGCAGCATAGCATTTTGTGTATATCTGATTCTCTTCTGCCATGCACTCAACTTTGGACCATTTTGGTGAATCCACTGGTAAAATTCTGCTGGCAGTTCAAGTATGCTGGTGTGAAACTGCACCAGTGCTAGCTCTATTGGCACAGCCTTAAAATGGCAGAGCAGAAGGCAGCCCTGTATCAGATTTTTTATGTTTGTTGTTTTTATTATGTTTTTAGATATGCTGTGAGCCACCTAAAGTGGTTGGGGAAACCCAGCCAGATGGGAGGGGTATAAATAATAAAATTATTACTATTACTATGTCCTATGATTCTCAAGTCATAGTATTATGCCATAATCTTCTGCTTCCATTATGTTCCACTTGCATATTTGTAAGAAGGCAGTTGTGTTGTAAAAGTGCCTCCTCCGCAATGAATGCAAAATTTAGCCATGCAAAATTTAGCTTAGTGGATTGCCTATGAAGACATATTTTCTATTCTCATGTTAAAACACTAAAGATGCCAGCTGGTTACAGAAGACAGAAACCACTTTATTTTACATTCCCTTGATTTTCAGTATTCAAATTATTCAACCCTTATGCTAAATCACCACTTGCTGGATTCCCCCCACCCCACTGATTTACAACCATAAACCAATTATTTCATAGAATCATATTATTGTAGATTTGGAAGGGACTGCAAGGGTCATCTAGTCCAAGCATCTGCAATACAGGAATCTACTAGATCACACATGACAGATGGCCAGTCAACCTCTGCTTAAAAACCTGCAAGGAAGGAGAGCCCCACCACTTCTCATTGAACAGCTCTTACTGTCAGGATTTTTTTTTTCTTGGTATTTTGTTGGATCTACTTTCTTGTAACTTTAAATCCATTGGTTTGGGTCCCAGCTTCTGGAGCAGGAGAAAACAAGCTTGCTCCATCCTCCATGTGACAGCCCTTTAGATATTTGAAGGGACGCGGGTGGCACTGTGGGTTAAACCACAGAGCCTAGGACTTGCTGATCAGAAGGTCGGCGGTTCGAATCCCCGCGACGGGGTGAGCTCCCGTTGCTCTGTCCCTGCTCCTGCCAAGCTAGCAGTTCGAAAGCATGTCAAAGTGCAAGTAGATAAATAGGTACCGCTCCGGCAGGAAGGTAAACAGTGTTTCCGTGTGCTGCTCTGGTTCACCAGAAGCGGCTTAGTCATGCTGGCCACATGACCCGGAAGCTGTACGCAGACTCCCTCAGCCAATAAAGCGAGATGAGCGCCGCAACCCCAGAGTCGGTCACAACTGGATCTAATGGTCAGGGGCCCCTTTATCTTTTATCATCTTCTTACCAGGCTAACATACCCATTTTCATCAACTGTTCCTCATAAGGCTTGGTTTTCAGACCCTTCATCATTTCATTTTCTTTCTTGCACCTCTCTCCTCTGATGCTATGCCACTCTTCTTACAAGGCCACATTATAGCAATAAACTTTGTGGACTTAATACAAATTCCTCTGCACAGGAGCCAACTCCTAGGGGCCCTTCAGCAGCCCCCCCCCAATTGAGGGGGCTGGTCCTCCTAAGCTTGATGAATATGGCCATTCAAATGGTGCATGTGTGCTGTGTCATGTGATCGATTATGTGGGGCAGGGCTTGCCCCCCAAATATTTTGTTCAAGTTGGCACCCCTGTCGCTCTATGATACTCTAGCAGTGTCTTCCTTCGCAAGGTACATCCAACACCTCACATTCCTAAAACAGCTTTACCTTTCCTCCACACTTTTCAAGACTTCACCCTTGCCTATTGCTAACATTTGCCACTTATCAACAGACTAGACTCCTTTAGCACTTTCACCAAGGCCCCAATCTGCACTATACATTTAAAGCAGTATCATGCCACTTTAAGCAGTCTTGGCTCCCCTCAAGTATCCTGGGAACCGTAGTTTGTTAAGGGTGGCGAGAGTTGTTAGGAGACCCCTATTCTACTCACAGAGCTACAGTTTGCAGAGTGGTTTAACAATAAACCCGTCTTCTGAGGGAACTCTGGGAACTGTAGCTCCATGAGGCTAAGAACACTTAGCATCAGGATTCTTTTTTTTAAGAATAATTTTTTATTAACCGACCAATCACATCAAATCAAACCAAATTACATAAAATCCAAATTACACAGACGAATTTTAAATTTTTGTTGGGGGTACCCATATTTCAAGTTCCGAAGGTTCCGAGCATCAAGATTCTTGGGAGGAAGCCATGAAAGTGCTATGATACTGCTTAAAGTGTAAATAGATGGAACCCATGTTTCTGTGCATGCTAGCCACCATCTCCAAATGTCCCTAAACAACAATGCATGTCATTTTTATGCTGAAACCTTACCAAATTTATTTTGCTATTTGTCTTCAAGTTAGTCTTTTCTAGTTTCAGTAATACAATAATCTTCCCTCAATTCATAAAACACTGAATTCCTCTCTTCCCACGTGTCATTATTCCTTATTCCTATCATGCATATGCTAAATTAAAGACAAAGAATTCATTACACATGATCCAATGAAAACTATGCCAAAGCTCTGGCCACATGTTGATGAGTGAGATTTAACTAGCATCATTATATTCAACAGATTATTGCACCATTATCTTTATTAGTTTGTGCTTCTGACAGCTAAGCTGGTATGATAACCCAGAATGTTCAGTTGCTCAAGAAACCCAACTGTTTGCTGAATAGATTTTTGGAAGGGATAGGTAGTTGTCAGTTTGGCTAGGAGTAAGACTTCAAACAGGCTGACTAAGGATCACAGAGAAGTCCAGGAACATAGGAAATCTAAACAATAAGGGTAGGCAATAGATAGAGAAATAGGAATCTGAAGGAAAGCTAAACGAATAATGAGCCTTGAGGGCAAAGGGCAGATGAGACAGAGAAATGAGGCAAGAACGGGCTAATCAGAAAAGTGAGCTATGAAAAAATTTCACAGTGCTTAATATCAGAAGAAATAAAGAGGAAGGAGTGTTAAGAAGGCTGATCAAAAAGCAGGGAAGCTAAATTAAATTGCACAAAGGAGGAACTGGGCTGAAAAGCAGGGACCTGATGAAACAATTGGCTGAAGAGAAGGCAGAGCCATGGAAAAAACAAGATTAGGGCAAAACTACACATAGAACTAAGATGCAGAAGAAGCAGTACTCCCCTAGCTGGAATAAAGTGGCCAGGAATGAGAGGAACTAAGGAGGCATGGGGTTGCTGAGCCTGGAGAACCATATAAATAAGTCTACAAAGTTACTAGCTTGCTAACAAATTCAAAACCTGTACAGTACTGTAGTAGCATGTTAGCTGTAGCCATAAAGGAAGGTCCTCCCACGCCAATATGAAAACAAGCGCTACTGGCTTCTTGATGGGTTATTTTAAAATGTGCTTTCTACCAGGTAGACTGGCAGAAGGAGAGAGTAATACGTCCCATGCCACTCACTCACCTTCATGGAAATCCTGATACTGTAGTCTTTTGACTATTAAGTGAGTAGTTAAATGCAAGGTTTATAGCCTAACAGGGGGTTCCTCCAGTTGTGATTTCTACTGTTAATGGAATATCTGGCAACCCTAAGGGAAGAATACGCAATGAGTAGTGTGGTAAATAGGAAAGTAAAGAATTGATAGATGAATTTAAAAAAATAAAATGTGGATCTAATTAATGGAGACATTTGTTTTGATTATAAATTATAGAGATCAATGAATGCTGTTAATGAAAAAATATATTAAAACATTACAGTAGATAAAATATTCTGTTAAACGGAAGGTTCTTAATCTTTCTTGGAGAATATATTAGGTTTTAAAGAAATGTAATCTGATCTCAAAATAGTGTTCATGGGAGTTGGATGTAATCTAGGTTTATATTTATATTTACTTTTGTAATACAGCTTGGTGTGGAAAATTTAAAAATTAGGGGGGGGGAGCAAGTGGGCTTAACTGCCAATACTGATTTGAACAAATCAACCAGTTCTTTGGCTGTGGACTTGTAGTTTATATTCAGTAACTTGGACATTTAACTCTTCAGTTCTGGGGCAGGGACATCCTGCAATAGACAAAAAATAAAATAATAAAGAGAAATGCACTTTGTTGTACTGTGCTCTTCTCCCACTTCAGCAGCAGCAGCCTAAGCAATGGAAAAGTACAGCCAATGAAGGAATTGTCTTGCATTAAGGTGAACAAACTCCTATCCTTCAGTGGAGGACGCCCCTGTTCAAGAGTTGCATCTTATGCCTCAGGGAAAACGACCCTGTTGCCACTATAAACTTAAAGGCTAGAATACGTTCCAAGTGAACAACTTTCTTGCTCCTAGTCTATTGATCACATGCAATCAGTATAAACTAACAAAACATCTCTCACTAACCCTCTCAGCAGCAGACAACATTTTAATCTGCCTTTGAACTGTGTTTTGGCCTTTTTGAGAAGGGTGGTCCATGCAACTGAAGGGTTCTAGCAGCAGACCGCTGAAGGAGGTTTGAGTCCACATGCACACTCTCTCAGGTGACTCTTCAGTGTGCACAGGGAAAGAAAAACACACCAGGCCTCACAGCAGAAACCCTTTCCCTGGGGGACGGGGCAGCCTGGGCTGTGTCAGAATCCAGGCCCTTTCCACGTGACAGAGCGCGCAGCAATCTCGCTCTGCCAGATGCTAGCGGCCCTCCTTCCGTCCACAGCAAGATTAAAGTCGCAGGCGGCGGGTGGGGGGTGGGTGGGAAATGTTGAATATAAATTTGCCAACATCTACAAGCTCCTCCGAGGGGGGAAATCCCTCGACTAATTACACGACAGGGAAAGGAAACAGCTGTAATCATCCTTCCATTGGATACGATCGCTGTCCATCTTCCTGCACCGCGGCCAGTAGCAGCACACAGCGCGCGGGCAAGAGCGACGTGTCGCTGCCTGGGCCAATGAAGAAGGGGAAGGTGGGCGTGGCTAATGGTGTCCCGGTTATGAGGGCGAACAAGATGGCGGGCATCGGTTTCCCTCTCTCTCCCCCCCGCGTTCTCACCCACTCTCTCTCCCTTCTCAGCCTCGGTATAAAGCGCTGTGGAGAAAGCCCCGCTCCGCAACTCGGAGGGCGCGAGGCCTCCTCAGTCCCGCCACCCCCTCACCGCCTAGTCCGGTCACCTTCCCGCGACCCTGGGGGCGCCGCTGAGGGAGGGAGGGAGGAACGGGGCTGCAGGCAAGCGGGCGGCAGTGGTGGCGAGGGCGGGCGCGTCCTTCGGTCTACTTGCCTGTCCTCCTCCGTGGCGGCGCCGGGTCTTCTGCGGGACGGACGGGCTCACGTCGTCGGGGAGGGGAGACAAGATGTCGGCTCGGCGCGCTTCCCCTCAGCGCCTCCCCCTCATTGCCGCGGCTCCCGACCTGCCTCGGACCCGCCGCCCGCTCGCTTCGGCTCCTCCGCCGCGGCTCCGGCTCCTGTTGCGGGGTGGGGGGAAGGGAGCGAGGGAAGGCAAGATGGAGGCGGCGGCGGCGGCGACAGGAGCGCAGCCCGGCCAAGCGATGGAGAGAGGGAGAAGGGGGGGGAGGGAAGGAGGCGGCGAGGGAGGGGGCTGCTACCGCGCTCCGCTCTTTCTCTCCCCCCCCCCCGGTCAGGGACCGCCCCCCCTTGCGTTTTCCTCCCTGGACACAAAGCGTGGAGGCCCGGCGACAGCGGTCAGGAGCGGGGTTGGGGGGGGCACCGAGATAGGCTAATGAGCGCCGTCGCCACTCGCCTTCCCGCTGTGGCGGGCAGAGCTTCGGGGATTGGTACTCCTAGGCTCGCTAGGTTGCATTAGGGGTGGGGGCGACCCTGGGGGAGGCCCCTGTGGGGAGCACTTCGGGGAGCGATCAGCAGGCTGGGGGGCATGGGCAAGAGGTGCCCCCGTCGGCCGAGCTCATAGGCTCCATGGGTTCCTCCTGGTGCAGAGTCCTAAGGGCTTTTTCCACCCATGATCAAATTCCTACAGGAAGTCACTTCCCGGTAGGCATGCATGGATGAATCCCACTGCTGCATGTTGAGCTTTTAACACGTGTATAGTTGCTGCAGGCTTTGGGAACCTGGCCAGCAAGTGACAAGTGTTTGGGTATTGCATGGTGTTTTCGCAGGTTCCTGTTACAGAGTCGCTGTCCTCTTGTGTGAAGCAGTCCTAAAATAGGCCTAGTTCCAAAAAGCACATGAGGTGGTGAGACTATGTCCAGACTGTACCACTGCTGTTGACGACTCAGGTTGGAACCCTGGCCAAGAAAATATTTGTACGCACATAGTACATTCCAAATACAGGCTTTCTGTTTTAGCTGCTGATTTATTTCATTTCATAGATTGCACACATGCAGAGAGCTTTGTCTTCCTTTGCTGCAGCAAACAATTCACAAACTACAACTGTGTGCTACCACATAACAAATTTGAGTAAAGTGATGCTGTACAAAAAGTTGGGATAGTATTAGAAGTACAGTCCTTGTGATGCAGGTTCATGACTGGCTATGTTTTTCAGGTAACAGCCTGTTTCTAGTTTCATACTAAAGAGCTTAACTAGGAGTAGGAGAAATGGCTTTGTACAAACACCCAGTCTTATTCTCTCTGTGGTGTATCCAGCTGATTATATGTAATTATGAAATATTTTGTAATCCTTCAAATAATCTTATTCCAATGGGGTGTCCCTGCGTTATGAGGAAAACTTGGTTGTCAATGTTACCAGCTTAATGGGGTGCTCTGCTTTATTATTTCAAGGCAGTAAAGAGGAGAGAAAGTAATACCATTTACTGCATGAAAGCAGACTAAGGTTATAACCTCTCCCTAGTGTATAAAATTGAGTAATCTGATAGGTGACGCTTTCATACTGTGTATGAGCACAGCCAGATAAAGACGTGTATTTTTGTTCTTTATGCCAAGATGGCATATTTATATATTCCAAATCCTACCTTAGTTAAGGGTAAAGAACAATAGGCATACTATTGGGTTTGCACAACTTTAGTTGTCACTGAGTTACAACCGCCTACAGCAAGGCACCAGGCAAATACACTGAAGTCACTGATGGAGGATCCTGGGACTGACCTTTCCAGATACACAGTTGAAGAACTCTTACTCTCTAATGCTAGCAAGCTGTACCGACTTCAGAACTGTAGTTGTCAGGCACCTCATATTAAAAAGTTTCATTTTGTTTATGGAGAATGTTTGAATGGTGTATACCTACATGTACGCCTAGCATCTGCATGCCGTAAATGATGCATGTAAATCAACTAGCACTTCTGATATCTGAGATTGAAATTACCATACTTCCATACTGGTGGCTGCTGTGTACTGTACTGTACTGACCGCAGCATCCTATTTCACAAAGGTTTTCAGTTAGCAATACGTTTTCAGTTAGTAATAATCACACCTTGGATGTCTAACCTCAGATGCCTGAGATTGAAAGGATCAGTGTAGATGGGCTTTGCAAGCCTTCCCACGCTCCTGCTGTCACTGCCACTGTCTACCCTTCACTCCACTCTACTGCACTTCTGTTGCTATGGGATGTGATACTAAAATGCAGGGTTCCTTCTGTCGGCAGTATGGGGTGGGGTGGAATGAAGGGGACAAGTCACTTTTCAATACTGCAAGTCACACTGGCTGTTACCGGGGTAGTGGGGATAAGAAACTCTGCACCTCACTTGTCCCCTTCGTGGTAAGTTGCAGTGGCCTGTGGTGTCTGGATGCCTGAAAAGCGACAGAGTCCCACCCATGCTTGCTTTACTGACCACTACTGCAGTGAAATCAAGCTGGGGTTGAGTTTGTTGGTGTCTCTGGTAAAATCCCTCTTACATCATGGATGTTGGCAAATGGGATTTTTAGAAGGCAAAATAATATTAGAACTAGAGCTGTCGTAGGCAGATTATATGCCTATAATCTGGCTGCATGGTGGTCCCACTCATACTACAACAAGCTGCAGATTCAAAAAGAGCAATCCTTCCCCCTCCCAAAAAAAATAGGCTCCTGAATAGTTATCTGAGCTAGCCAGCAGTAAAGTGATATAGGGTACCCAACTTTTCATATTAATCATCCAACAATTCACTTCATTGCTGTCATAGCATTTAATTTTCACTGACAGCAGGGTTTTGCTGATGGACAGCAAATGGGAATAAGTGCTGGTTTAACAGCATGCCTATATAAATGAGTGAAAAGGTACCACAACTTGCAGCATGAAACTAGGATTGGAAATAACAGTATATTGAACAATGGAAGAGGGAAATGCACATCAAAATGATTTTTGGAGCGCTAAAAGCAACGGTGGCATTGCAAGCAAAAGCTATGTGGAATAAGCAGATAAAATGACTCAATCAGATACTGACAGGAAACAGATGACATTTTCAAAACAAACACTCCTGCTTGCAAATGAGATGCCTCCTTTTATTGCCACATCAATTTGGCTTTCGGAAAGTCGCATATTTCCATTCCTTATGATGGGGTCTTCTGAACAGTAGATAAGAATGGAATTCGTACAGTCAGTGCTCGATCTGACTGGTGCTCTGCTGCCAGTGTGTGTTTGTAGCACCAACACAGTGTGGCCATTCCTAATATTTCACTGCTGACCAAAGCCCATCCTGGCACAGAAAGCTGCTAGCACATTTTATTTTGTTTTATTGTGTGGTATTCTAAGGGTCACTTAGCCAGTGCAGGAACTTGAATGTTGTTGCAATTCAATCCCTAAGTCCAGGGGCCATTCCGGAGGTAGAGGAGCTGGGAAGCCATCCTTAGTGATTGGTTGCAGTTCAATGCCTGTGTGTCAGGGGGCCATTCTCAGGGTAGAGGAATTCTGAGGCAAGCCTGTTCTGTTTTGGAAGTCACTGATGATGGCTGATAGCTGGCTGTGGTCATTTCCATCCACCCCTTTAAAAGTATCTGTTAAAGCTCAGTTTCTCACATTGCATAAAGTTAGTCAAGGGAAGAGGGAAGTAGCTAAGTTCTGACAAAAGATTGTGTACTGGTTATGATGGGTCTGGAATGAAAGAGATTACAATCCCCACTTTTTTCTAGGTTTCCGTAATGCCCTTTTCCCCAGATATTGCCACAGGTTGAATTCTCCAGAATTCTCTGCCACAGGTTACCTTTGTCCATGATTCCCAAAGCAAACCAATACTGGTTTGTTTTTCTTTCCTGAATACCCTATGTTTTTGTCCTGTCTGGCAAAGAAGGGAAATTTCCCCTAGAGTTTGCACCTCTCTTAGTTCCCATGAATGGGCAGCAATCGGAATCCAGTGTGCATGGAAAAATCTAAGAGACTCAGGGCACTTCCAGACTTGCTTTTCTGCAGGTGGGATTTCGCCACATGCCATATAATTGCACAATTAAAGTGAATTTGGGCTCTTACATGATAAATCCACCCCACCCCCAGAAGGAGGAGGAAACGGAAATGCAGTGGAAAGGCTGGGATACTAATTGCTAGATGCTTGAGATGTCAAGTGTTAAACCTGGGACTTTCTGCATACAAAAGAGATTCTTTGCCACTGACCTAAGCCCTCCCCTAGTTCAGAATGGTCATAATGTAGTTAACACTTACAACATTATTTCTATGTTATGTTAGTACTTTAAAAAGTTGACACGTTGCGTTTAATAATGTGGCCTTATATCAGGGAAATGAGAATTGAGGTGTCCTAAATCAGAAATCACTTCCAGCTCCAAAATATTTCACCCGTATTCCTTGTGGTGCCCTCAAAGAAGTAGAAAAAAATTGTCACTATTTTACATAAACCTTATTTCTAGAAACATTGGGTTGGTTTCTACTAAGTCATACTCAGAGTAGACCCATTGAAATCAATGAACCTGAGTTATCTGTGTCCATTAACTTCAGTGGTCTATTCTGAGTAGGACTAGCACTGAATACCACCCCTTGTCAGTTTTGCTGGAAGCTGCAGTTTCCAACGGGGAGTTGAGAAGACTCCAGAAGGTGTAATGAAAAAGAATAATGGAATGCACAGGTGCCTTTTTAATCAAGTGAAGAACCAGTTACAGAATGCATAAGAAAAGAAAGAAATGTGCAACTCACAATTTATCACAAAGAGCTTTAATGAGAAGCATATTAATTTTTGGCACTGAAAGATGTTCCTGGTGCAGTTTTGGCCTTCCGGCTACGCTGCAACTCCCCTTATACACTCATTGTCCTTGTGTTCTATGCACACAGGCTTTTCCATGCTGATTAACATTTTTTCTTTATTGGGGTCAAAATATTGATGTACATTTTCTCATAGGAAAGGTGTCTCAGCATCAGATAGGACAGAGCTTACAATGTCATACCGCTTCTCCTCTTGGAGTCCTTCCGTGCGATTGGACTGAATGACAGTATATCATTGTAAATATGCCCTTGAAAGAGAAGCAAAAGACATGTTTGCATTTGTGATCAATCTATGCACACCAAACGTTTTAATGGTTACTTAGTGCATTACTTTACAACATAAAACTCTGTGATTCTCAGGGAAAGGTGACTATAAAAGGAACTCAGATGTATACAAGACTCTATAATGGGGCATTTTCATAAATCCTGAGGCCTAAGAACATGTGGAATGATGCATTTCAAAATTCTGCTTTAGAACAGGAAAAGAATTCATTTGAGTGTTATGAAAAGAGCTGCAAAGATGATAAAAGGCATAAAAGCATAGGTGAATGGAGTCAGGCATGTTTGGCATAGTAAATTCATTAAGGCTGCAATCCTGTTGGACATTTTTCTGGTTTTCTGACCTACATGCTGAACACACTATGCCACAAGATGCCAAACAGGCATATCCAGCTCCCCATGGCCAGCACCCGCCCCCATGCCCTGGTTCAAATAATTTTAAAGTTCAATAGGATGCTGTAGAAAACTATTGTCTGATGTATATGAGAGACCCATTCTGTTTCTGGCATGTAATCCCTTTTTGATATTCTTTGGTTTGTGTTATGTACTGAAGTTCTCACCCTGGGCCAGCAGGGGGATACTGTAGATAGTTTTCACTCAGGTCCACATATGCAAATAAAGGATTGAAAGTGACATTCAGTGATTGGATAGTTACAGAAAATGGTTATTGTTGCATTCTAGTGGAGCTCTATATAAGCAGGCTGGCTGAACCCTTCAGTTCAGTTCTGTTCTGTTCTGGCCTGTGAATAAACAAGAGCTGTTTGAAGAATCACTGTGTCGTCTGATATGTTCACCCACAACTTAAGAGTCTGGCTAGGCTGTTTATTTCCTGCTACTTGCCTTTTCTTTCTGTCTTCCTTTTCTAATTTGGAACTTGGATTTTGACTGCGTCCTTTGGACACAACAGCCCAAGGATCACTCTCCTCCCTCATGCCAAGCTGATTCCTCATACTACAACCTTAGGCCTAGAAGGACAAAAGGGTGGATGAGATGAATTCTGCCTCACAGTGATGAGGAGATGCAGTTGGCTGTCATTGTTGCCTGGGTCTGAAGCTAAGCAGAAACTTCTGAGGTTCCTCTTGTTTAAGGAGTCAGAGGCCGGTTGAAAGGCGGAAGTGAAATAAATGAGGGAGAGTCTGGCTTGCTGGACTTCCATGGCAGCCGGATGTCTCCAAATAGCATGTGAGGGTGGAGAAGGTGCCTACCTTTCCCCAAGAGACTTCTTGCACTCATGGTTGCAAAGCTATCGAGCTGAACTTACTTCTCCACTCATTGATCGAAAGCTTTTCGCCCTCTGTGGAGTCATCATAGGAGTGCTGCGCCTCTGTCTCTTCCTCGATGTCTCTGTATGGGTCAAAGTAAGTGTGAGCCAGAGCTTGGGTGGCCGTCAGACGTTTTTCCACATCCAGCTGCAACATTTTGTCAAGCAAGTCCACGGCTGCAAGAAAGGAGGGAAACGGGGCTAGGTAAATTAGGGCAATAATGCTTAAGACTAGGATGAGCCCAAGAGAGTAATGTGCCGAAAACCAAAAGGGATTGCTTGGCCTCTGAGGCACTTTCCCATGGCTGATTGCATCAGCTCATCAGACAGAACCAAAAATGGTTTTCATTATTATATTGAATCTCACCCCCCACTGAAGTAGCACA